GATCATTGTTCTTTACATACATCAGGCCTTTAGTATTCTTGTTTTCAAGAATTGTTTAACATATGTAATTTCTGGCTCTTTTTGTCTAGCCTGCGGAATTTATTTCGCATAGCGAGACATAGCAATCCTCGATTCCGTCGTCGGCGTTATAATCATCCCTAGAATTGCTTTCCCCCTCTTTATATGAGCTTTGGTGTATAGTTGTCTCAATGGGAATCATACCATATCTCCTTTTGTTTACATAAAAGAAATAAGTCTGTATTTCGTAATGACCATGAATATAATATACCCGCTGCATTTGTTTGCACCTGTTCTAAGTCTCGTTTTTTATATAGATTAGACCGTTGCTTTTCCAGTTTGAATGGTTTTACAATAGTCATTTGTTTGGGCCCTGGCTGTTTGGTGTGAGTAAAGGCTCCGTGTTAAATACCGTACTTTGACCTATAATGGTTTACTTTTACAAATTGTGACTTGGATGGAGAGTTGTCTCATTGACACTCATACCACATCTTCTTATATATATATATATAGTTTATCAAACATGTGAAATATACGCGAGTAAATCTGGACTGTTGCTTACAAGTTGTCATGACCAAATATGGACCATTAATAAAAGCATTAGCAGATGACTCTGTGTAGGATATCATCATCCGCCATAGAATTTTTCTCCCTTTTATTGTTTTATTTTCGACATCCTCCATTTCGTTGTTTTAAAAAAATAATCAAGACCTTATTTGGACAAAAGATAGATCTCATCAGCCCCTTTAAGAGTTATATCCCCTTGAAACAATTTCTTTCATTTCATTTTGTGTTTAAACTACTACAGGTAGAATCGATTTGAAAATGGCAACATGAGCAGGAACAGATGGTAATGTTACATTATTTTGTTATCAACCATTATTTGAGTTATTTCCCTTAAACTATTTAACACAATTTTTTTGAAATGTTTATTTGGAGAAACGGAAGTCGTGGAGACTTCGGAACTTCATCAATAATCTTAAGTTTAAGCAAATTTTCATTTGCATTTAGGTCAATGGTCACCGAGTGCAAACAAGTTTGAAGCTTATATATTAAGAAACGATATGAAATTACTGCAAACATAAAGTGTATAAAATGTTCCTCGACGAGCTCTAAATTCAAAGCTGTCTCAAAACGACCATCCGTTTAAAGGATAATTCTTAAAAGTATAGTATTTTGTGTATATCTTTGAAAAGGTGCCAGATATCATCTTACTTTAAATTACAAAATGATCAGTATTTTCAAATTTAACCATAACCTTAAAATTGTACTATGAATTTGACTTTGTGACATTTGAAAGATCAAGTGGTTCTTAGTTAAATGGTGGTAGTTCCATGTCTCTACGACTTCCTGTTCTCAAGTTGGGTATTGCATCAAATATTTGATTATCCATTGTGATCAGAAATTGAAGAGTGTTACATTGTTATTTGTTTGACTAATTACAAACACATTCAATGAAAAAAGGCAGAAAAGAGCAATTTGAAATTTTCATGTTTTGCCATTACTTTGTAAGTTTCATAAGGTCTATTTATACAATTGATATTTCATCATTTTTTAAATTTCCTTTTCGTCTCAGTAAGAAGGGTGGGGTCATTTAGTGCAAAACATTAAAACTTTATAGATGATTAGGTTGTCTCGTATTAAATAAAAGTCCATAAAGCGTACATTTCAAATATCAAATTTACGTCCATAAAAAAGGGGTTGGGTGAGGTTATTGAGTGTAAAAAATAAATTGCCTGTTTAAGATAAAGTTGTTGTACATCAAGTGGTCATAATGTATAGATACAGGAAGATAAGGTATGCGTGCCAATGAGACAACTCTCCATCAAAGTTACAAATTATAAAGGTAAACCATTATAGGTCAAAGTACTTTATTCAACACGGAGCATTAGCTTACACCGAACAGCAAGCTATAAAGGGCCCCAAAACATTACTAGTGTAAAACCATTCAAACGGGAAAACCAACGGTCTTATCTATATAAAAAACGAGAAACGAGAACCACTTATGAACTACATCAACAAGCGACAACTGCTAAACATCAGATTCCTGACTTAGAACTGGTGCAAACAATTGCAGCGGGTTTAAACGTTTTAATGGTACCAAACCTTCACCTTTATCTGAAACAATAGTGTAACATCACAACATAGAAAGACACACTATAAAATATCAATTGAAATGGCTTTACTCAATCAAAAGACGTATAAGTATATTTCATAATGTGTATATTTCAAATACTCCTGACCTAAAAAAAATGAATTGGATTACAAATATCAGAATTTAAAGGCAAAGGCCTTTCAATTGTTTTAAAAATAATTGAGACACTAGTTTTATATATTTTTTTCAATTAAAACTTATCAAAGAAACCCTGTGTAAAATTGAGACGCCTGATGCGCGTTCCCTCGTCATAAGACTCCCAAGTGGCGCTTGATTGAAAACAGTTTGTTGCCAAAATCCAAAACTAAGTTGGAGAGAATTTAAAAGGGGAACCATGTTTTTGTAATGATGTAACGGTTGTAGCCTGATCGATGGTTCACTGACTGTAATACGTCGAATGTCATCTCATCCAACTTTTTATTTCTTACAGATACAAAACGTCAAATTCCATTTCCTAGTACTTCTTTATTTAATTAGTTGTTCTCGTTTGTAACTCTATATATGTGTTTTTTTTTTAAATTAATGTCTTGTACATAAATCAGGCCACTAGTTTTCTTGTTTGATTTGTTGTACATTTGTCAATTTGAACATTTTGGAGCCTTTCATAGGTATCCATGCAATATGGGTTGCTATGCAGTATTTGTTTTGTTCATTGATAAAGGCCGTATGGTGACCTATGGTTGTTAACCTTCTACGTCAGTTATTCTCCGGAGGAGACTGAATAATGACATTGGCAAAAATACCACATCTTCGTATTTTTTGTATATTGACGAATGGTACATGTGACGAAATTTAAAACGTAAATATTTATCCGTAATTTTTTACACAATGCATGTTTTTGGACAAAGTTGTATTTGACGGATTACAACACAAAAATTAAAAAAAATATAAACATATGTCATTTTGTTGGTGGAATGTACAAGTACCTGGCCCCCTCCATCTCTGTGATTTTGTTTGATTTATTTCTATTTGTATCCATCTGATGGGTTAAGCCTTTTTTCAACTGATTTTTATCTTTCTTTCTTTTGTTGTACTGTTACACTACTGTTCCAGATTATGGGGAGGGTTGGGATCCCGCTTACATGTTTAACCCCGCTACATTTTTTATGTATGTGCCTGTCCCAAGTTAGGAGCCTGTAACTCAGTGGTATTCGTTTGTTGCTGTGTTACATATTTGTTTTTCTTTAAAAAAAAAAATTTAACATTAATTAGACCGTATGTTTTCTCGTTTTTTTTATTGTTTTACATTTGTGATTTCGGGGCCTCTTATAGCTGACTATGCAGAATGGGCTGTGTTCATTTTTGAAGGTCGTACAATGAATTGTTGTTGTTAATTTCTGTGTCATTTGGTCTCTTGTGAAGAGTTGTCTCATTGGCAATCATACTACATTTTCTTTTTTATATATACAAACATACGTGAATATACAGAATAGAGAATAATGGGCAAAATCTGCAAAATAAAAGGTAAAAAATTTAAAAACAAAAATAAAAAAAAATGATACAGAAAAGAGGAGACAGTGCTTAAACAAAAGAATACAGAGAAATAGGCAAAACTAATAAAGAATAGAGAATTTAAAGACCCCACCAAGACCCTTATATATAATAGCGGAAACGGTAGTAATTTTACATACTAGTTGAGTCCTTATTATGAATCATTAGGTTAAATAATACCCAAAATGTGATGATAAGGGAGTGATCATGTTTCGTGATGAAATTGCCTGTTTTCGCCTTATTCTATTTGTATTGTCATTAAACATTTTCAGTATTTGCATTCTGTTATTTTGACAAGTAACAAGTTATAAGACGTACTCATTATATAACACACTATTAGGTAAAACAACCTACAAATATGAACAAGAAACTAAAGTTTGTGTCTGAATTAGCAATAAAGCTCACGAAACTTTTGAAATTCAAAACATGCACATTTTATAGATTACTCTTGAATAAAATACTGAATAAAACAATTAGCAAGATGATAATGGATATAATGAAATATTATTTACCAAATAAAATGGGAAATGGGGAATGTGTCAAGGGACAACAACCCGACCAAAGGACAGAAAACAGTCGAAGGTCACCAATGGGTCTTGAACATAGCGAGTAAAATCCCGCACCCGGAGGTGGGCTTCAGCTGGCCCCTAAACAAAATGTGTACTAGTTCAGTGAATATGGACGTCACACTTAACTCCACAACATATAAATGAACTAAAATATAAAAAAAAATACAAGATGTAAATGTAAGCATATATATTCAAATTTACATTTTGCAAAATTAAAATAAACTTATCAAAACAATGTTGAAGGGAACAACTAACCATACGAAATTCTGGCGACAGGACGGAAAATAGAGAAATAATAGTAGACGTTTGTTGTTTGGAAAAATTCAACTCGAAATGTAGACGATTTTTTATCCATCTGTCACCGCATTGTGCTCCAATGATAATACAGCAAATGCGCACTATAAAACAGCATGCAGTCATTAAATGTAGATAAATGTATCAATGACTATGCATTGTGTTATATGTTGACAGTTTTTGAAAAATTATATCTTAACATTCGAAAGAAACTTTATGAGATCATAGCTATAGGTTACTATAAATAATATCTAACAATAAATTGTATAAAATATTCCAACTTTTGCAATTTGGGATGGCTACAATGCATATAAAAGCTGAAGAAGGCATTCCCATATTCATGTAAAGTGGTTCAACAACTTTTAAACATACATGAGAAATTTAATACTTTTAAACCTATGGATTATTGTGATCATTTAATTATTCCTAAATTCGATTTATCTAAAACATGTAAAAGAAATGTCAATACTTACAACATTATGTCTAGACCAGATGTTCTCTATGTCTTCCTTGTTGTGCATACATTCATGTTCTTCACAATAGTATTGTCCTCCTACACATAGTGTATTAAGATCTCCATGGCTGATTCTGCCGACACTGTTAGAATAATCTCCAGTTCTGCATTTTGATTTTATTTTGTACTGTAATTTATGGCCTACTTTTGTCTCTAAATCTTCAATTTTATTGCAAAGCTCTGCTACAATTTTTCGATATGTATTGTCGCCCATATCATAATTGTTCCATATCTGCAGTGATATAGCGTTCCTTGAAAAACAAATGACTAACTTACTTTGTTTGGTTGTATCTAGATATACAACTGCTTTTCCTGCATATATAGCTGGACGTCCTTTTCTTGTATCTGACATTTCTTTACAGACTTTTTTTTCTCTAATGTACATGAACAAAATGTGATTATAATAAGCAATTGGAAGAAATTTGAATGCAAGTACCAACCAAGGTGTACAAAGTTGATTTCCGACTTTAAATGCTGCCTTAATGTTTTCTAAAGACGATACTTCTGTAATCATACATGGTATATAGTATTCATTCATAGATTTTGGTTTTACTACTATGTCAAATTTTTCCATGACTTCAAGTATATGTGTTTTGTGTTGTCCAAACATTAATTCAGGCACTTTACTAAATAACTTATCAATCAAATGATCTGATAATATTCCTCTATAGTTTAGGTTGTACAATTCAGTCGCGGTACAGGATTTCTTTGCATTATCACATATTAGGCATCTGAAACAGTCAACTAACCAATTTGGTTGTAGAATGATATAATCCTTTTTATCATCAAAAAAAATAATGTTCCCAATTTTATGCTGGAATTTCAGGAAAATAAGCAATTCGTCTTTTTCTATCAATATCGCCTTAGCTAATTTCTCAATATTCTCCAATTTTTCACAATAACCCATTTTTCCCCTTTTCTTCAAATCTTTCAATATTGCAAGTGTATTTTCTAGTTGGATCCACTTTGTAGGAAGTTCCTCAGCAAAATACCGCATTTCCTTTGCAATATCTGAAATTTGATCCCTCAAATTTGTAAAATCCTCTTCAGGTGAATTTATATTAGAAATAAAGTTAATCATGCCTCGTATGTGGCTGCCCTTTTCTTGACATCCAAATATATCAAGAAATTGTTTTTGATATTCATTTTTCTTAATCTGGAAAAGAAAATGCTTGTCTTACACTGATAACTATGAAATACTTTAATTAACGAATACGAATTACTATGCATAGATCGCAGGAATTAATCATGAATAATCTTACTATTACCATGCCAGGGAAGATTTGTCTCCGTTTAAGTTTCTTGATTTATTTGCATTGTAACTTTAATTAAAAACAATAGATATCACAAGATGAGGTCATTAGTCAACACTTACATTGAAAAGGCAAGATAAAATACACAAATAATGTGTTTTTGATTTTTTTCAAGAATCATTTGACAGATGTATAATACACATAATATAAGAAAGAGAAGATGTGGTATAATTGTTAAGATTGCCAGAAAGAAAGATCCCATTGGCAGAGCTATGGAGGATGGAACCATTCAGAATTTCATTCATGCTTAAGTCAATCTACGATACACTTCCTTACGCTTCAAACTTACATCAGTGGGGCGTGATAGAAGAACAAGGCTGCAAGTTATGTGGAGAAAGAATGGCAATGGCACACATATTTGTAGGCTGTAAAGTTGCACTGACAGAGGGAAGATATCGATGGCGACACGACAAGGTTCGAAAATATCTGATGTTGAGATTAGGAAGAAAAGACATTCAACAACAGAGACAAAACATAGCAGATTCGTTACAGAGAGACAGAGAGAGATACTGGTCATACAAATAAGCCAAAACAGTACTTCATCTTGGACAAGGGCAGTGAATGCAACATGAAGGCTGACATTGGCAAGAAGCTTTTTTTCTTTTATCATGTACAGACAACCCTACACCAAGACATTGTAATTTGGTCACATAAGTCAAAGATGATAGAAGCAGTAAAACTGACTATTCCTTGGAAATAAAGATGTGAAGAGGCATACCTGCGGAAGAGGGAAAAATATACATGTTCCAAGCTGATAACAACATGTAGAGAGAGAAAATGTGGAAAGCGTAGCTGTTCCAAGACGAAATAGGCTGCAGAGGATTTTCTGCACAGTCAGTATAGAGAATACTACAGGCACTTGGAACAGTTAGAAAAGCAAGGAAATCAACAATAAGATAAAGTAAAATCACAAAAATACTCCGAGGAAAATTCAAAACGGAAAGTTCCTTATCAAATGGTAAAATCAAAAGCTTAAACACATCAAACAAATTGATAAAAACTGTCATATTCCTGACTTGGTTCCGGTATTTTCTTATGTAGAAAATGGTGGATTAAACCTGGTTTTATAGCTAGCTAAACCTCTCATATGTATGACAGTCGCATACAATTCCATTTTATTGACAAAGATCTATGAACAAAACAAACAAACATAATAGGTAAAAATGTCAAAAATAGGGGTGCAGCAGTCGAAATTGTGTAATAATTTTAATGATTATAAAAACAAACAAATATGTAACAAAGAAGCACAAAAAGGCATATAGACAAAGCACATTAGCAAAAATGAAAGACAAGAATACAAAAATTGTACCATGATAGAACAAAACACAATTACGGGATGTATAGGTACAGGGCCATTTCAAATGGATATCACCAAATACTAACCAGTCAAAGTAATATTCATAAAGACAAATTAAATAAAAGAATACTATAACAAGTTATTATGATGATAGTACCTAGAATCTATACTTCAAGACCATCGTGTATTATTTGTGAAGTTGAAACGGAATATGTATGAATAAGTAAGAGGTTTATGGGAAGCAGTAGAGCGTTCATTTTTGCTTGTTATGGCATCGCCGAGATGATGTGAGCTGGCAGCCGAGTGTTGATGATTAGCGGTTTGGCCACCGCTACTGATCATCCAACCGGAGGATGTAATGGTACCAGGTCTAAACATCTGGTGATGTTTTCTCAATAGGGTATTGATAGTTTTGTATCGTCATAATTTGAATTCGGTATGGATAATTTCTTTGGAGGTTATATTTAAAAAGCGTACAACATCTTCAAAATTAGAAATGAAACCTAGAAACTCCACATTGACTCGATCTTAGTCTTTTATTACCAAACTTATTGCAAAGCGATTATAAATATGTCTGAGGAAAGAGCAGTATATCTTATTAAAGAGTACAATATTGTCTACAAAGCCATGTGTTGAAAAAAACAAATGACAATAGCCGGTCCTCTTTTTAGTTCAATACATATACAATGCGTTGTGTTTATGTTGTTCATTACAAACTATTTAAATACAGATTTAACTGCAAAAATATACTATCCACGATCCATGCAAATAAGGCTTAGGTCAAACGAACCTGGCCAGATTAAGTGTGTCCGTAAACTTATAAAACTTTTCAGTTAATCCTTGAAAAAAGGATATAATCAAGAAAACTTTGCATTGATAAATGATCTGTGACTTTTTCTAAGGGACATGAAAACCTTTAATGGTTCTTTAAACCGAATATAGATGTCCTTATACTAAAGATAACTAACATAGATCACAATTTCAAACCTATACAGTTTTTATAATCAGTCGCTTAGCAATTACATATGTCTTGGGAAAATTTCTGGACATACATAATGAATTAACAAGATACGAAGTATTTATGTCGCCAACCTTATACAAAATTATGTTTAATACAAATTCCGTAAATTTGGATAGTTTGGCAAAATCATATTTTGCTTAATTTGGTGCCTAAATTAAATGTGCTAAAATTAAACACACAAAAATAAAGCATTTATCAAATTGCCCAATGAAAAATTTACTATAGAGATGAGTAGATCATTATAAGCAATGATAATGAGCAGTCAAACAAATCATCATGTGACTATGTAATTTTGTTTTATAGACCGAGAATAAAAAGTATTATAATTGCCAAAACAAATAGATAATAGAAACCAAAGGAGAATCAATGAAATATAACTTAAGTTGTTCTTACCTCAGTTCTAATGTCAAATAAAATCAATAGGTACGATTTAAACTTTAGATTACCTTTATAAAATTAAACTCCTCATCTTCTTATTCTGTGTTTTATTTAATATCAAATGTCAAAACAATATACCGTAGATTCATAATTATTCGTTAGATACTAATTTTTGTGGATTTTGTGGTTCCAGGTGAACCACGAAATCAAATATGCACGAAAATGCTTGTTTTTGTGTCAATCCAGGAAAATAGGTACCCAAGAACAAAAATGCATCCACAGTATGTTTTATACACTGAATTTAAGCAATTGAACAATGAATTCCGTAATAGAAAAAAAAAAATCGTGATCGTTTCAAAATTTTAAATTTGACCACTATTATTTTGGTTTAACACTCACAAATACCAAGATTTACGGTAGTTTGAACAATTTCTGTCACCGCTGGATTGGTATACTTTACACTGCAATCGATGACATTCGTCGATGCGAATACCAAAATAAAATTTTTTAAAAGGTTCAAGTAAGCAAAACAAAGTAATATTAATTACAGTTTTTTCCAAAAGATAGGCATCCATGTTATATCATACCTTTAGATCTTCATCTGAAACCTTAAGCTTGTCAATACCAGCGCAAACCATGATTACAGATGGGTATTTTTCGTTAGCTATACTATTTTTGATATCTTCACAATAACAGTGAATACTGTCCAACCAAAAGTCAATGTAATCTGAAATAGAATTATTTTACACTGTTAACTTTTCTTACTCCATATTTATCAACTAGAAATTACACATTTTAAAAGACGACTCAACAATGTAAAACGAAAGCTCAAAAGAAAATACGACTTCCTAGATAAACATCATTTAAATTCCAAAAGGCATTTGTGTACATTTTTGATTTTCTACACTTAAGATTTTAACTAGAGGCTCTCAAGAGTCTGTGTCGCTCACCTGTATCTAGTGTGGTTTTGGAAATCATGTAAAATAAGGTTAAAATCATAATAAATAGTATAAGTTACCCAAATAATAATTAAGGCCAAGTTCGGTTTAATTTGGCCCAGTTATTAAATTAAAAGCAGATTATTTTTGAAAAAAGGTTTACAAAAATTACCAAAATAAGACATTAACTCCAATAAAATGTCAATTAAAGATTTTGATCATGTTGACTTATTTGTAGATCTTTCTTTGCTTGATAATTTTGCTTCATACAGTATATCTCAATCTATAATCTATAATAATATTCAAGATAATTAACAAAAAATTGTAAAAGGATGCTGTCATGAAATTCTCCAAAACGAATCCTAATTGGGTACCCCTCCTCTTAAATATTTATTTCACCCAGGGACTTTATAATGGCGAAAATGCCTTAAAATATATTTTGGGAACGACCTTAAAAAACTTGGCAGAGGTGCATTCATCCAATATAAGTATGCTGAAAGAGACGATATAATAATTAAGAAATAATTCATGGAAACCATAGATTTGTTGGAAATTTACACATGGCCTGGGCCGTGATATTCTAATTTTATCCTAAGCGTTAGCGAGGGATAAAATTAACGAATATCACGGTCCAGGCCATGTGTAAATTTCCAACAAATCTATGGCTTCCATGAATTATTTCGATTCTAGTAGGACAAATACTGTCATTAAAAAACTGAAGCGAGGTAGGGTATGCCGTGTGTGTGGCTGTTATTTTTTACTACCTGTTAAATAAAGTTCAAATATTCTAATAAATCTGTAGTTGCATGGATTATTTCGTGAATAACCGCTAGAATAAATCTGTTCAATTCTTTTAATTCTCAAACCAAACATTTGCCATTTTTAATTTTACATATTTTTCTTGTAAGCTACCGTTAATCCAAAGTAGACATTTCGCAACTAAGGAGCCGCCATGTTGACTTGCTGAAATCAGTATATATGCGAATAATGCAATAGAATAGAAAATAAAACAAAACCTACCTCAAATCCATTTTAATACATTATTATACGAATTTCGATGGTTAACGTAACGGAAAACCTTCAACTCTAGCGTTTTCATTTGTATGACGTCATGTTTTGAAATGACTTAAATGCGCCAAAAACATTGATAGACTTTCGCGGAATTTTATTTTATTTTGATTTTGTTGATTTCTCCGATTTCTTGTGCATTAATTCTTTTTATCATGCATCCGAATAAGAATAAAAGTTCTTTTGTCTTTTTTTAATTGCAATTTTTAAAACAATAAAATCGGCAAAACGTTTGCAAATAGGTTTCAATACATGTGGATTTATGTGGGAGGTATATTGTAACATCCATTATTATGTATATCTCTGAGTCTGCGCTAACTATAGATAGATCGAGAATTTGATCACGGTGTTGTTTACAAAGCGAAAGAAGCACGTCATATTAGAATGGTTTTTAGAAAAGATCCTGAATATTTCTGAAAATGGAAAATATAATTCAGAAATTATAAGCACCCTCCTTTTGAAAAAATTGCACCCTCCTATGGAAAAAAATCCAGTCATCCCATTGTAGTCGTACAATAGTTACTGAAGACCTCTTGACCCCTTACATGTATCATTATTAAAATTTGTTTTCAAGTTGTGACCATTTGTAATTGATTTTCGTAGGCGGAGTCATCGGACACAATTTGGAAACTATATATCCTAATGATAATTGTAGTCAAGCTAAATTTGTCTCAGGAGTTTCAGAGGAAAATATTTTTGTAAAAATTTCAAAAATTTACGAAAAATTGGTTACAAATTTACTTTAAAGGGCAATAACTCCTCAACGGTATTATTAACAATTTTTTTCATGTTGACTTATTTGTAGATCTTACTTTGCTGTTTACAGTTTATATCTATCTATCTATAATAATATTAAAGATAATAACTAAAAACTGCAAAATTTCCTTTAAATTACCAATTCAGGGAAGGCAACCCAACAACATGTTGTCTGATACTTCTGAAAATTTCAGGGCATATAGATCTGACCCTGATAAACATGTTTACCTATGTCAAATTTGCTCTAAATACATTAGTGTCAGAGATATAAGCCACAAACTGCATTTTACCCCAAATGTTCTATTTATAGCCATGACGGCCATGTTGGTTTGCAAGCGGAGTCATCGGACACAAATATAAAACTATATAACCTAATAATAAATGTGGCCATTTTTGGTTTAATTTGTCTAAATTGTTTCAGAGCAAAAAGATTTTTGTAAAAGGTTACAAAAATTTACGTAAAATAGTTAAAAATAGATGATAAGGGCAAAAACGTCTTTAGGAGTCAATTGACAATTTCAATCATTTGACTTATTTGCTGAACATAATGGTTGTTTTCAGTTTATATTTATCTATAATAATATTATGAATAATAACCCAAAACTGCAAAATTTCCTTAAAATTACTAACTCAGGGGAAGCAACCGAACAATGGGTTGTCTGATTCATCTGAAAATTTCAGGGAAGATAGATCTTGACCTGATAAACATTTTTATCTATGTCAGATTTGCTGTTAATGCTTTAGTTTAAGAGATATAAGCAAAAAATCTGCATTTATCCCCATGTTCTATTTTTAGCCATGACGACCATCTTGGTTGATGGGCGGGGTCATCGGATACATATTTTGATCTAAATACCCTAAGAATGATTTATGCCAAGTTTGGTTTATTTGGCACAGTAGTACTAGATTCAGAGGAGAAGATTTTTGTTAAAGTTAACAGACGCAGACGCAGACGGACAACGGACAACAGACGCCAAGTAGTGAAGAAAGTTCACTCGACCTGTTGGGTCAGGTGAACTAAAATTAGAAATTTACTAAAGGCTACAAGGTGCTTGGATTGCTCATTTGGCAATAATTTGCTATATACTTAATTATGAAGTAAAAATAAAATTAAAAAAACTATGAACAAAATCTACATATTCCCAAAATAGAATGCCACTTCCCTTCCTCCGGAATAAGATATTTTTCAAATCTTGATTTGAATTGACGATTTTAGCTCTCAGATTGTCAACGTTCCATTGCTGACCAGAAACGTATCTTCTGTCCCATGGTATGACCTTTTTACATATCCCAATTGTAAGTCTTGACATATTCACAGGAAAAGGACATTATTAACAATGATTAACAAGTTTGTGATTCTAACAAAAACAGCTTCAACAGAATTATGTGAAAGAAAGAAAGAAACTCGTCTCTACATAAGTTTGACATTAGACTCGCAAAAGGAGTCAGGGTCATCAAACATTTACACCATTATCAATTCACACCGTTTATAGAGATGAATATAAGAAAAACAAAAACAGAACCTCTTCACTTCATCAGTCCTACATCTCTGTTCGCCGTAACTCCCAATTCATCAAAAATTAACATCACAAGCAATTCACACCATGTTGTTGACGATTATGAAGAAAAACGACAGAAACTCTTCACTACATAAGTCTAAAATCTCTGTTTGACATAAGTCTACAGCATCGCAATAGGAGTCAATTAGAATTAGCTGATAAGGGTTTTGTTGCAAACAATAGCAAACATATTTTCCACCCAAAAAACTATACAGGAAGCGGATCCTGATTGCTGAAAAATAAAACTACAAATATTGTTCATTTAACCAACATCAGAGCTATTGCATCCAGAGGCTTTACTATACCTTTATCCCCAGGGATGTATACGTCGAACTTCTCGGTTCTAATACATCGTCCCTAGGAAAATAAAGTCCTGCTGTTCATGTCAAGACCTTGTCGTAGATTTTATACATTAATTTAGACATGTTTACTAATCAATCGCGGGCCACTTGTCAACAAGACTTAGTAGTCAATGAACAACTTAGAGAGTAACTAGACAAATGTCAAAAATACATAATTTTCCAAACTATTAACTGAAAACATTTTCAGTTTATTATTGGATACAATTAAGATATATGCCAGAAATTGCTAAAACCTCACACAATATCGGTTTTAAATGCAAAAATCAATATTTGGAACGTTTTACGGATTAAAAAAAATCATCACTTTAAATACTGGATGGCTTAACTGTATAAACATCAGTATGACGAACGATATATAGCTGGGACATCAAAACTTTGTTTTCAAATTCCTACAACCACTCTTTCTATTTAAAATGATGGCCGTCGGAAACATGTTATGAGATATATTCAACAAACTGTGTCTATCAAATGTGGATTTTTAAAAGGTCCAAAGATCTATGCCCCACATTCTATCAAGGTCCATTGACTGAACTTTTTACATTGTTTACAAGTTTAAGTTGTTGTTTAGGTTTGTGTTTAGGGAAACACTTGTGATAAGTCTATGGTATTTAGTTTTTGTTATGCAATTTTTGTAAGCATTTATATTTCAAATTTCCATGGAGATTATTTGTTCCTGAATCTGAATTCATTTATAAAGCTTAAGGCAACAGTAGTATACCGCTGTCCAAAAGTCATAAATCGATTGAGAGAGAACAAATCCAGGTTACAAACTAAAACCGAGAGAAACATATGAACTATCAGAGGAAAACAAAGGAACAACAGTAACACTGAAGTGAACAAATACAAACGCAAACATACATACAAACGAACTACTGCCATACTCTTGACTTGGTACAGGACATCTTAACAAAAGGTGGTGGTTTGAACCTTGTTTTATGGCTACCCAAACCTCCCGTTTATATGACAATGTTAAAATGATCACTAAAATGACAACAATACGTGATAGAAATACAAACACACGCAAGAACATTAATCACAGAGAAACGCACCCACAAATAATATAAAAGTCGAATCAAAATGCAATCGCAAAACAACAACGAACATCTTTCATCAACGACAGACAGCAAACGACATCAAAAACAGCTGCGCGTTTATGCAAGGAATGTGGAATCTAGAATAAAAAACAATATCATGACAATGACGGTATGAAAGGTGTTTTTATAATTATTTGGACTACAAACGATGAGACATTTTAACACATTATCTAACAGAACCACAACGGAAATACCAAAAATAAATACACGAATGTCGGATGTATAAAATACCAAGACATGTCGTATAGCAATGCAAATTCACACTTAGTAAAATAGTCGTACCCGAGAGTAGGTTACGTTCGGTACTTAGCAAACAGACGACATAGATGTTAAACCACAATCTAAGACGTGATAAGGTTTTCTCCGGGCACTCCGGCTTCCTCCACCAATAAAAACTGGCCGCCACAAAATAGCCCAAAGGCGGTGCTTAAAAGTGGGGTTAAAACACCAAAAAAAAAAAAAAAAAAAAAAAAGACGTGATAAAAATTTCATTCGTTAGTTAAGACACAAACACATCGTTAAATCAACCAATTTGTGATGGTGTCCATAAAATTTATGGAGTGTCATTTTTAATCTTTCCTCCTCAAAACTCTGTAGGAGCAGTTTCTGCGTAAGGAGCACACTCCTGTATATGAGGTCCATAAAGTGTGAACATGCACGAGCATAACGTATCAATTTAGATATGTAAACACCATACGACGGATTAGATAGTATGTTAATGCTGAAAAATGGGAAAATGATAATTGGGAAGTTGAAATCGTCCTGTCTGTCATAGATTTAAGTGAAAGTCGTCCTTTTGTGTCAATATTGAGGGAAAGATCAAGGTATAAAGTAGTCCTTCTTGAATCAGTAGTATCCTTATTTTCTAGTTCGCTGGGATATATGAGATGCAAGATTGTCAACTGCTTTTGTACATACGGATTGATATTTCACGATCCCATAACAAACACTTTTCGGCAAAGTATGTGGCTAGGCATGTTCATAAACGACATCATAAGTGGATTATATTACACTGGTTGTGAATACAAGCTTGATTTCCATAAACAATGCATAGACGATTCATTACAATAATATTTTGATTCAACTAATCTTAATATTTAATATATATGAATATGCAAATTTATTCGTTCATTGTGTATTTATTTGTGTTACTACGTTTTTTGATTGAGTTAAGACATCCCAATTGATATTTTATAGTGTGTCTTTCTATGTTGTGATGTAACACTATTGTTTCAGATAAGGGTGAAGGTTTGGTACCATTAAAACGTTTAAACCCGCTGCATTTGTTTACACCTGTCCTAAGTCAGGAATCTGATGTTCAGTAGTTGTCGTTTGTTGATGTGGTTCATAAGTGTTTCTCGTTTCTCGTTTTTTATATAGATTAGACCGTTGGTTTTCCCGTTTGAATGGTTTTACACTAGTAATTTTTGGGGGCCCTTTATAGCTTGCTGTTTGGTGTAAGCCAAGGCTCCGTGTTGAAGACCATACCTTGACCTATAATGGTTTACTTTTATAAGTTGTGACTTGGATGGAGAGATGTCTCATTGGCACTCATACCACATCTTCCTATATCTATATGGTCTTATTTCTTAAATAGACTTGCAGTTGAGTCGAAATTAAATGTATTCAAGTTTATTGGAGACACATCTTCTTATGATATGTCTTTAAATAACACATTTGCTTCTGTTTGAAAAAATAAATTAAGTTCATATACACATTTGAACATTCATCCGTCTATTTTTCAAAATTTGGGAATCTAATATGAAAATCTTATCTCAATTCACATTCAAAATTTAAATAAACTTCAATTTGTTTCCAAAATAAACAATCATGTATTATGTACAGGGAAAGCAAAATACGTTGAACATTATTTTTAGATTACACTAGCAACTTCAAACTGACAAAATATACTCTCTCTATACAGAGGTCGTTTATAGTAATCTGATTACATACTTATTCCACTTTTGAGTTTTACTAGAACATAATTTTGTAAATTTTTCCTCAAATAAGCATCAGAACACAGTCAACGGCCATATAATATGGTCCCAATTTAAAGACCTATTTGTGTTCAGTGCTAAAACTTAAATATTCACGTCACTCCTGGTTTTTTTAATCACAAATTTGGCAAAAGATATCGACTACTATGTAAACAAACAACGCTTTAATCAACAGACATCAATTTTGGAATGTCAAAAATATACAAAACTTTCAATTTAATGGCACGCCTATATGCGACAATATTGTTAAATCAATTTAGTGAATAACACACATCTCTCAACCAGAGAAAATGTCCTGTCGAAAACAAAATATTAAGATAACTAAATCAAAACTTAAACAACCCATGATTAATGTCCTGACTTTGGATATACACGAAAACATGCAATGCGGTCTCAAAACATCTACCAGTGAAATAAATGAATGCGTTCATCGAAGAATAAAAAATGGAAATCAGTTAAAGAACATTCTTTTACTCTGCACTATTGTATGATAGACACACAACCACAAGCTGAACCGTTTTGACAAATACATATCTACAATAGTAAAAATCTTACTCCGCTTATATAAATTATTATTGTGCAATCCTACCCACAAAAACTAACAACTTTACTTCAGTAGTTATTCAATACAGTGAAATCATAAAAAGTTCGGAAAATATGTTTTTAAAGAATGCTTTAGTTTTAAAGTATTATTCCACAACAACAAAATAGTTGTAAATAAGGTTATTGTTTCGATTTATTATCAAATATTTAAAAATATTACCTCCACTAGAATCAAAATTAAACTGATCATCATACTGAACTTTTTTTATATCGTCTGTAATATCTGCAACAAGAAGATAGATTGCATGGGGAGTAAGGAATGTCTGGTGTGTGGCATAGTACTCCTTTTGGCCAGCAAAATCCCATATTCCACATTCTATCAAACCTTCGTCTGTCATAGTTTCTTTTTTATTTTTTAGATAAAATGTAATCTCATCCATTTTATTAACCATTGCTTCGGTTATCTGGTCAGAATCGTTATTTGTATATGTATTTGTCATTGGTTTGTCTGCATATGAATTTATAGTGTTTACTACATGTAATTGGTTGTCGTCAGGGTTGTTGTTTGAAGTACCTGGGATGTTTGTTATAGATATTTTCACTGGATCATTATCATTTATCCTGACTGTCTCATTTCTATCTAATGTTTCTGCTTCATCTGTGAGCCGATTAGATGGATGATCTCTATTTTCGTCGACTTCTGCAAGCTTTATTTGATCTTCAAAAGGATTCAGTGTTTTAGTGTCATTGGTTCTAAACAAATTATGCTCAGCGAAACGTCGTTCATCATACTCTGGATGGTTTTCTGTTTCTGTTAGTTCAACTGCATGCAGTATCCTCCTTACAATTTTCTCCATTTCTGTTTCATCTACAATACAGTGATTTGCAAACTGTATATTTTGACATAGAAAGGCTCACACATTCGTAACCATAAGTCAGATAAAACGGCTAAAAGGGTATTTACTCTTTTTTAAATAGATTAAAAATCAACAACTGCGTTATAATATTTTTAGCATTGATAATTTATTAAACAGCTATACAAATCTGTTTCCGGTTTTACTTGTTTCAATGAAAAGTAAAAAAAAAAAAGAACTCCAGGGAAATTCAAAACGGAAGGTCCCGAATCAAATGTCAAAATTAAAAGCTCTAACAAATCAAACGAATAGAAAACAACTGTCATATTCATGACACAGGTTTGGTATACGCACTTCCTAATATATAAAGTGGTGGATAACAACTTGTTTTATAGCTAACCTAATCTTTCACTTTTATGACAGTCGCATTGAATTTCATTATATTGACATCAATGTGTGAGCAAAACAAACAGACATATTATGTTAAAATAAGCAGAAGAAGCCGTGTTTTTTGTTATATCGTTTATTTCTAGTTCTGGATCAGAGAATATATTAATAAAACCCAATCAGAAACGTTGGATTGTGAATGGAAAGAACATCATCAGTATATTTGAATGTGAAATTAATCATGTAAATATATCTGTCTTTTTTGATCTACGGATTTATTTAAGTGTCTATTTTAATACAGTTTTAATCAAGCGTATACGGATTTTTTTATATATTCTTATATATCTATGCTGTATACATATATTTGTTATTTAACAAAAATGTGTATACTGATGAATACGGTAACTTAACATACTATAAGACATTGTTTCCGTGAAACATTTTTGGCATTTTTCTTTATTTGCAATAAAGATGACACATGACCGTCACATGTACACCATATATGCAGGCTTCATTATAAACCAAAAAAGAAAATTGATGTGACAATCCGGAAACTTCTCTATTTTCCCAATCTATATTACTTTCGTCGCATTAAGCTAAAATACACAAATTACAAGGGGAAACTAATTTTACATGTTTTCATATCTTTAGTAAAAGTTAACTTGATTTTGGAACCACACATTCACACGTTTCTTTCCCCCTAAAAATCATTAATCTGTTTAAGTTTCATTCAATTCTAGCCATGGTTACTCAAATTATCCAGAAACCATAAAGGTGTATTACAATAATTGTTTTCCCCTATTGGTCTTTGTTAAATTATCATTTTTCAAAAACATGTGCAGATTTATCTTTGTTTCAAAACAAGAAATACTTTGCATGAGTTTTATCCTGTGCAGTACTACAAAATGTCACATACAACTTCATTACATATTAGATAATAATCATCACTGAATGTTAACCAATCAAATTTTCACCCCTTTAATGTTCTCCCTATGTACAAGGTTAAGTTACCATATGCTTGTAACCTCAAGTTTTTTTTTAAATATTCTAAACAAACACTTAAGAATAAAAGAATTGGCCTTTGAAAATCCCAATATATACGTTTATGACTAAGAAATGTTTTACTGCATGCAATGCAATGAAGGTTTATTTCTCCACAACTGTCACATTCAAGGAAATATTTTTTTGCGACTCCTTTTTGTATGCAAACGGATGTGACCGTATTATGACTTAGTGGTATTACATCTAAAGAAGACTTTTTTGTTGAATAAACTGAAAGAGATTTTTTACTTTTTTAATACTCGTTATGTCAGTCATTACTGTCAAGTTTTTACATAATCGGTTCAATAGTCTGAGAAAAATCTCACGATCCCTACAGCGGTTAGAGCAAAATTGTTCGAAAAATCCAAAGTAAGCTGCATTTTGTTAGAATATAGTGTGGACCAATAAATGGTCAAATATTTATTATCTCATCTGCCTACCAACAGTTGAATATGATACAAAACATGACCCCTCATATTATAAATACTCTTTATGATAATGGACCTCTTTGTCTTCATTATAAGGTCCCTTTTGGTCTATTTCTACCTCTCAGTTCCTAAACATTTTAACTTCTTGGACCAATATATCAAAATATTTGGGTAACTTTATGAAATTTATGAAAGAAATGTGATAATTAATGAGTGATTGAAGTATTTAAGCTGAATGAACTATCTATATTAAAGTGTACTGACTACATGGAGGTTTCGGTAAGTCCTTAGTACGTAAAACGTTAATTTACGCTGCGTTACAGAGAGGGACATAAAAAGCTTCCCCATAAGTGAAAAAGTTGTTGTTACTGCTTCAAAAATAATTTCATTTTCTTACACAATGAAAATCCCCAGAAACAAAGACTAAAACAAATAAAAGGCTTTCTACAAGAACGTTAACAGATGTACCCGTTAAGACTCATTGAAAGCCGCACCACAAAAGCAGAAAACATACAATAATTGAATTCCAAAACATGCCAAAAGAAAGATGGTATAAAAAATTACTCATTCCGTTTGTATGTAATCATGACCTTTAATGAAATTAAACCTTCAACTTCGTCGTCCTTTTATTATTCCTAGCTCAAACATGTCTGATCATAGGGGCATTTGACCTGGTTACCCCAGAAAATGAAAGTTGAAAAAACTTTATTATAACCATTGACATATTTAAACCAAATATATTGTTTCTTGGGTGTGCACATACTTTTCCAATCTATCATATACTAATATATACTTCAAAGTTGACGTAAACCAAGAAAAAAATCAAGATACATGTATGTTACAAAAAATACACATTTCGTCATAGTTTGTTGCCATGGTAACTCGTTAACTGAAATTTGTTTTTATATTCTGAAAACCCTTTACCTGAGTGTAGTTTCGGCAAAGTAACATTTGGGAATGGTTACTTTTAAATTTGCCGAATACGGGTCTCACTTCCCCATCTCTTTTCCCAAATGTGTTCACAATTTTCTATCAGATGAAACGTGTCCCCTTTGAGACGTTCAACATATCTAGCGCTTACATTCCAATAATGTATATGGACCTCGTAAGGGACTTAATTAAAACATTTGGATGTTGTTGAAGTCCAAGGACAACGAAAAAATCAACACTGTTATCCCAGGACATCAATGCAGATATAATCCTGGAGACCACAAGAGTTACTGAGTAACAAAAAAAAGCGATTTAGTAATTGCAGAGAGGGTCAGAAAAGTACCACAATGGATTATAAACGATACATACAATTGTATTGAATAAAAAAAAAGAATTCCAGACGCAGTGAAAATCTTAATATTTGTCACAAATATTGAAATCAGCAAGAAATGGACTTGTAGCAAGTCTTACATGTTTATTGTTACCAAAATTGGAACGTTACGTGTAATGAAATATCTTCAATTGATCGCTGACGAAGAGTATGCAGATCCTGTGCCACATGTTGCACACTTTATGATGTCCAGTAAACACGCAGTAATTAGTTTTATTAGGAAGGTGACGTTATTTGGAACATATCCGCTATCGTCTGTGAAACGAGTATTCCATGACGGTCAAACAATTCGTGATTGCGTCCGTAAAATGTACGACGAAGGGATATTTTTAACTTCATTATATGGAACTCTTGGTTCAATTACTTTTTTGTGAGCAGAAACCCTCTATCAAGGAAATCATGATAGGAATAACGAGACTGTATCAACTGGTAGATATATTTTCCTTATCCAGGCGCTGCTGGAATGTTGCTGTATAGAAATGAAAAGCAGCAGTTATCTCTTTTGTCGTAAAGTTATGTCTTCAACCGTTTTTATCAAAATTAGACGTTAGTCACGATATTATGCAGACACAACTGTATCTGTTTTATCTCAAGTTCGTTCGATGGGATGGATGCGTTTAAGCTAGTCACCGAACTTAGAATCATTTAGTTAGAGAACATCATCTTTATAAAGGAAAGTAAAGTTAAAGGATACTGCTATTTTTTTTCTTTCTTCCTATGAAGTACCTGTATGATATCATCGTAAGTAAGCAGACAGGTACTGTTGGTTTGCATGGGAATGCTGATTGTTTGTTAAAAAACAGGTCTGGCAAACGTAACAAATATGTTGTCAACCAAGAAATAATGCACCATGCAAATGTCAGTTTCAAAGAATTGTTTTTAACTGTATTCGTCCTAGGTGGTTTTTGTTTTAGGTTTTTATGTAAGCCATTTCAATTGATATTTTATAGTGTATCTTTCTATGTTGTGATGTTACACTATTGTTTCAGATAAGGGTGAAGATTTGGAACCATTAAAACGTTTTAACCCGCTGTTATTGTTTGCACCAGACCTAAGGCAGGAATCTGATGTTCAGTAGTTGTCGTTTGTTGATGTGGTTCGTAAGTGTTTCTCGTTTTTTATATAGGTTTTACCGTTGGTTTTCCAGTTTGAATGGTTTTATACTAGTAATTGTTGGGGCCCGTTATAACTTACTGTTCGGTGTAAGCCAAGGCTCCGTGTTTAATACCGTACTTTGACCTATAATGGTTTACTTTTATAAATTGTGACTTGGATGGAGAGTTGTCTCATTGGCACTCATATCACATCTTCTTATATCTATTTTGAGAAGGCTTTAAGAAATTTCAAAAACGTATGTCGAATATTTATGAGTAAACAAAGAAAAAATATAAACTAAATTTAATTTAATAAATGCAAAATCATAGTGAAATCACTCAAATATGAAGTCAATCAGACATTTTATGTTTAATACATATAATGGTTTTCATGATATCGTTATTACTGGTATGTACTTTATCCTTATTTTCTTATTTGAGTAAAGGCAGACTAAAAAAACAAATCTAAAACAGGGATCATTAATTGACTTTTATTACCATTTTAGTTCAATAATGTTTGTGGGATTGAAGAAGCTTTTTTAATATTTTCTGAGATGTACGATGATTACTCTCGCCGACAACAGAACTAAAAGGATAACAAAAATGCACACATATGCCATGTAAAACAACACTGAATATATTCTACAATTATTTTCTTCCAGGATAAATTACACAACAAGGAAACTGTTACTCTTTGAAGGTTTGTAAATTTTACACCGGACACTAATTATACAGTATCTAACTGTCAAATACATGTAAATAGCCTTGGGAAAAAGTATAAGTCTGCTGTATTCAGAACCTCAAATATGTTGATATGTAAGAAATCATTTTGAATTGGCAAATGATAGTCAAATCAAAGAAATTCTATTGCATAAAGAATTATAAAAATCAAGAGGAAACTTTCCTTTTATTTGTTTCAAAATTTCAACACAAATATCTTCTAATTTGCTGCAAAAATCCCCATGCATTACTCATTGTTATAAAATGACCCTGCAAACTGAATAGCAGAAGGCCGTAAAAGTTACCTTATTTCGATGTGATATGGAAGCAGGAATAAAATAATGTAACTCACCATTATCAAACATCCATGTACCATCATTTTCTTTAATATGACAAATTCTATTAATGTCAATTCCATCAGTGCTCTCTACACCCTTAAGATCTTGATTCAGTAATCTACGTACAAGACTTGTTTTTCCAACACCTTCTTTTCCAATAACCTGAATTCTCACATATTTTCTGACCTCATTTCCAGATTGGATTGCCTTCATAAACCTTTTTCTATCATTTTCTCTTGGAATTTCTAACAAATAACAAATGTCATCAAATAAATATTCACATATTAGCTTTAAAATTGTAGTTTTTTAAATGCTTCAGCTTGTTTGACAAAAAGACAAAGTTTCATTTTAGATTGAAATTCTTTTCTAATGAAAGTTTTCACATTAAACAATCTAACAATTAAGTTCTTACTTACTCAGATAAAGAGTACTTTTATTTCAATTCCCTTTTTGTCATATATCTGATAAAGTTTTAAAAGATGTATATAAGCTTGCTTACAAATGTTTACACTTGAAAGTTCTTGTTGACTGACGGAAATTAGAAGCTTTTCGGACAAACGAAATCTATTAAGTGTATTGTTTATTGATTATCCTTATATAATTACATAATAATTGTAAATTATGTCATAGTAAATATAAAAATGAGAAGATGTGGTATGATTGTCAACAAGACAACATTCAAACAAGGACTCACTTAGGTAAAATTAACAGTTAAAAATTCTCATATGACCTTCACAAATGAAAAAATTCCATACCACACAGCAAGATGTAAATAGAGCCGAAATGTTTGTTAACTTGTATTCACTTGATTTCTAGAATAAGCTTGACATTATTCATATATGTGAAATATATGTTACATCTTTATTAAAGGAGACATGACACGATTTTCAATTTGTGTTTCAAAATGTTTATTTATACTTAACTTTCCCCAAAAATACATCGATAGCAATATAAGTGTCAAATATTTGGTAAAATATGTATTTTAATGAGATTTTAATGCAACGATTTATCGACCTGTCAAATATGCATATTTCCATCCCGGAAGACTCAGAACGAGGCTACTACGTCAGTGGTTACATTCATTCATATTGACATATGGGTATAGCACAAATTTAGTTTCGATTATAATCCAACAAAACGCATGACAGTGATAAACAATGATTATGTGTGATGCCGATGGATTCAACAATATAATTAAGAAGAATATTGACTTGATATTTTCTGTTTTTCGAATGACACGCAGACTTAGGTGTAAAGATGGGACTTTTTAACAAGCCCAAACTACTCTTCTTTCCGCCCACTTTCATACGGAATCCAGAGTTGGGGTCTCAGGTGACATGCCATGAGTTCATCATAGGTCATAGGTGTACGGTACAGGTGATTGAGTTTCGCAATTTCAGGTCTCGTTTGAAGTTGCAAGCTTCAGGTGTCACGCCACATTGGGGATTGATAAGACATAGATATTACGCAATATTACTTCATAAGCTCTTTGTGTACATCCTGGATGTTGGTTTTGCCGAGGGCACAGGTGAGATTGGAATATATTATTGTTACAGTAATACAGGTACAACTACCTGGTCATATGTTTAATGAATACCTGTTGTACGACCATACAATACCCTATGCACCACCAATTAAATACCCTAACCAGTGTTGATAACTAATAGACAACCTGTATATATAGATCTTATTTTTATTGCTTTTAAGAATATGCAGACATAAAAAGGTTTATATCAGATGCATTTTTTTAATTGACTTCTTGAGATGAAAAGTAATATTTCTGTATGCTTGCAAGTCTATAACTTCATAAGAAATTGTTAGGCTAAAAGCATAAAAAGCAATCAAGGAAATGATAAGACAATGTGAATCATAAGTCTTTTACATTCTTATATTGAACATCGAATATAATAATGGACAACTATTTAGTTGGTAAAGATTCAGATGATGAAAAACATTTCTTTTTAAAATGGAAACTTTATAATAAATGAAGAAAGTGTCGTTAACCGTAAGGCCTCCAACAATGAGAAAATCCTAAAACGTATATTCGGCTATAAAAGTTCTCAACATGAAAATGTGAAACAATTTTAACGAGAAAACTAACTTATTTATAACAAAATGATTTCCGCAGAAAAAATTTGACAGACATGAACCAACGACAACCACTGATCTATATGCTCCTGACTTAAGACCGGCACATTCAAAATGTGTCGGTGGTATATATTTGTGAGCGCCTATTCCAACTCAAAAGATCGGTACGAAGTAGAGAAACCACTAACGTTAAAACAATAGAGACAACGCAAAAATACTGTTAGCTAGATCAAAGCCAAGTACAGCTAATACATAACTCATGTTCTCGAAGACTGAAGTATCATAGGCGGATCCAGGGGGGGGCTTGGGGGCCCGGGCCCCCCTTTCGTGGGAAAAATTTGGTTGCTTATATAGAGAATCACTGAAGCATGACCGGAGCGGCCCCCCCTTAGGTCAGTCAGCGGGCTCCCCCTATGAAAAGTTCTGGATCCGCCACTGAGTATGTTACATGTAAACATTTTCCTAAAAATCTAACATTTATTCAAATGACCCCTTTTAGAAGAAATATTTTGAAAAAGAACATTATGTGTTGCGAATATTTTCCTGGACTCAAGCGTTTTGCTGGTAGCAATAAACAAATTGATTGCTAAACGATATTTAAAAAAGAGGGGTGAAAATAAGTGAATTTGAATTTACTTTGTGTAATTCCTTAAATTTGAAGTTAGATTTGTAAAGGTCTGGATGGAATAGCATACTTTAGAAGTGTAGTATAACTATATTAATTATTTCAACCAAGGATTTGTCAAATCCTTGGTTCCGCAGAACCCAGTGTCTCGCCTACTTTTGTGACTAAATCACACTACAGGTGCCTTCTTACCTTTCATCTGGTCAAGTATGCTATAGGTGTCAAAATTTAATTACTAAAACAACAGCCTCCAATAAATGTTTTGTATTGTATACATAAGGTGAGACGTAAAAAAGATATTGAATTGAATTGTTTGTATAAAAGGGGGAAAGTAATAAAATTGTTAATTGAATATCTTAATGCAGAAATAGTGTGATAAAGGATTTTTCACTATACAAATCCTTTGTGTGATGTAAGGTTTCAAACCAAAAAAATTATAAGAATAACTTTTGGTGATAATTTATACCTATTAAAAGTCTCTACGTAACCAAAAAAAAAAAAAAACGTACTCTTTGCGAACGCCTATAAATTGACTTTAACTATCGTTTTTTTCTGCTTCTGGCGCACACAAAATTATAACATTACCGTAACAGAGAGAAAATAACACTTTGATCATCAATAATTTGAAATTTATATTTTTAATCATGATTAAAAGTAGTTTTATTTAAATAAATAAAAAAATGCAGAAAGCGGTTTATTAAATTTATTCATCAGACAAACCAAATATGTATGGTAACAATCCTATCGGTATTGTCTGAAAAATCGTCGTTGTTGGACTCTTCGCATGAAGAATTAATATCCTTTTCTTGGTTATTTTCCACACACACAATGGCTCAAATTGATGAGGTCAATTGTCCTTATAGTTTGTCAGTAATCGGGAAAAGTGCTGTCAATACCGTCCATAGTGTATCGACATCGTCCAGTTAGAGACATTTTCCCAGCTTGTAACCACTGACGTAAGCACGATCACGATCGTTATCTAATTAAAAATCATTCATTATGACAAGCGCTGGATTCTTTGACCAGAAAAATGCCGATTGGTCAGGTTTTGATCAGCAAAATTGTACAAAACAAAGACTAATATTTATTAATCTAATAAAAAAAAAAAAAAAAAAAATCGTGTCACGTCTCCTTTAATATAATCAAAACCTCCAAATAAACTGTTTGGTGGAGACGGGGATGATTAAATGACTGATTTGATATCAGACCATTGAACGATGATCATAACATTAAGTGTTTTTTTCAATAGGCCAAAGATTTTTTAATGATATTTTGATAGGTATTGCATTGGTTAATTTTTTTCTTTCAGGAAGCGTTTTAAACCAAAATATGTAATAAAAGTAGTAAGCTGACGACACTTTCCACCACAAATACTACACAATAAAGATGTCATCAATGTTAAAGTTTCTTAAAATCTTCAATACTATTAATGTGAATGCCGACTCTTTGAAAGATTTTCCAACTTGCACATACTATTCCCTTTTGTCATTGGTCTAATAATATCTGTGTATCAGCATAAAATTTTATATGATTTCATTTCAAAATTATCAAACTACGTTATATCTTCATAAAATATTGATGTATCTTTATCATATTTTATAAGTTACATCATTCCTCAGCCAACTTTCGTTATAAGAAAATGAAAACTTTTTAAAAAGTTCCAAATGAAGATGCACAATTTACACAAATTAGCGCTATCACAATTTAAGTACCGCAATGTTCTAAGATTAACAGCAACTTTGTAAACGCCTAAAAATTAATAATATTTAAACTGTTGACATTGATTAACAAAATCCTTCTGAATGCACGAGATTTAGAATGGATAAAAATAGGATGCAAAGGTAAACACGGTTGACTAGGGTGAAATGTTGATCTTCGTAAATTGATTAACAGGTTTAAATAACAATTTATTCCATTTTCTTTAAAATTTAAATTAACCAAGAGCTTTTTAAGAGAGAAAGAGAAATAAGAAACGTCTATACACGAACGAGCGTCTTTCATTGTACATGGTTTTGAAAATATCTTAGGTATTCAGCATACAAGGTTTAATTTGCTTTTCATTGTATTTTTGTTGTTTTTTATTTTCCGACAGACCGAACGAACGGTGTTCTTGAGAGTGAAATCAGAAATGGTATCTTTGTAAATGTTTGTTTACTTCTTGAAATAAAGCTTGATATATTAAATTTAGTTATAGAATACGAATTCAAACTCACAAATAAAACCCTTAAGTATTTCAAATTCAGAATTACCGTTCGAATAGTGTCAAGTAAAAGGTTATTATATTTTCTAAAAAGTTAAGTAACCTCTCGGTTATGAAATTCTTAAAGTAACGTTATAAACACTTGATTTTTGTTATTATGAAATCGTAAAACACACTGATATCAATTTAGAAAAAAAACCTTCTGAAATGCACTAGCCGCGATTGACGAGAAAGATCTATGTCATTTTAGTAAGCACGCGTGATCTGGTTGACCAAAATGTTAAACTTGCGAGTAATGATTCACTAGTATGAATAGATGTTAAGGCTTCGACGGGGATCATGGTGACGGAAAAAAATAGAAATTTGAAAATGTTTAGGAACACGATATGTTGGCCTGATATTGACAATCATCAGTTTGTATTAAGTTTCTATTAATAGCATAAAGGAACAGGACGGTAAAAAGAGGACATGAACCGTACGACCAATACACGGGATTGATGTTTAAAAATTTGAAACCAACGTCTTAATTGGAATGAACAATTTCCATGTATAAAGGCACAACATTATGCAAATAGGTCTATATATGAATATAAAGAAACTTTAAAAAAACCAATGAAAATCATGTTATCCTGATTCAAATGAACAATTTTCTCAAAGTACTTACATTCAATGTTTTTATATTGAATATTATGTAATATTTATGGCTAACAATACATTGTTAAACATCGCCTATTTTCCAATTGTATGCGGTCATTTAACGAGTTAAAAAAAAATTGATCCCATATTAGTTTTTCGAGAAATTGACTGTAATTTTCTTCATACAATACAATATTATTACATGTATCTATCTTACATAAATATTAAAATATCTGTTTAGGTAACACATCTCATTCGAAATAACCTGGTACAGATTGATTTACGACTTTCCACTGGTATTGCACAGGTAATATCACGACAGGTGTTAATTACACTCGAAAACTGCTGGGCAAGTCTGTCATCTTATCGTAATCATGCATTCATAGTACAGTTTTACAATAAGCCAAGGATTCCGACCCGAGTCCGAATACGAGTCACAGAAATATAGTTTAAACGACTGGGGTGATCTCAAATTTACGATGAAGCGCACTTTCTTTCCTTCATTATTATTATTTCAACGTTCAAATATTGAATACTATAAAATCTTTAAGCGTACATTATTTTAAGATGACCCTCATAGCTTACTTATATAATTTGTGGTCATACTGGTATTCAGATTCCGAGTCTGGCAGTTAGCGTAAATATCAGGTAATAAGACTTTGCTTATTTTTTACGATTTCAAATTAGGGATTACGAAATTACCTTCGTCAATAGGGACGTTTATAACAAAACATTTGAAATTTACGGCTGCGTTTATAATTGAACATGGTAAACACATAAAGAATGTGTATCTTTAGGTACCTTAAACGAAAAGCAAAATCCACCTAAAAAGTGAAATCACAAAAATACTGAACTCCGAGGAAAATTCAAAACGGAATGTCCCTAATCAAATGGCAAATTATTTTCTGTTTATTAATGGTGAATGGCAAACCGAAGTACTGACTACTGAGCTGATGATATCTATGGATCAAAGGTCCCCAAGCAGGTATTATGAAAAAGAGCTAGACAATAAAAATAACGCTTAGTTAATATATGTGATGAATTCGAATCGCTTTTAAAGATTCAATTTCATCAGGATCGCTAAAACCCAAATAGATGATAGACAAATATGTGAGATTACTCATCACGTTAAGAGCTGTAAGACCAATTGAGACATTAAAAGAATATCGAAATCCATCTGAGGTTAACTTTAACTTAAAATTTTTTGTATTATTAAATGGAGAATTTGAGGTATCAATCTTTTGAGAAACAAATTAATAATTACTGTCTGCTGTAGAAAATAGAATACTTCTTGTTTTTAATTTGGAATAATGATAAGCATATCTTAATCTATTACCACAATATGATTGATCTTAACTCATTTAAAGAAAATAATTTTCAATGCACTCCGTTTCAGGTATCATTGATGTGTACAGTTCTAAGTAAAATACATACCAAGAACTGTTTTCTTAGTAAGTTTTCTCGTTTGAATTGTTTTACATTTGTCATGTCGGGGCCTTTTATAGCTGACTATGCGGTGTTGGCTTTGCTCATTGTTGAAGGTCGTACGGTGACCTATAGTTGTTAATTTCCGTGTCATTTGGGCGCTTGTGGAGAGTTGTCTCATTGGCAATTATATCAAATCTCCTTTTTCATATTAACCTTTTTTTGAAAGATTTAGACATGTATCCACTTTTTTGTAATTATCATGGAAACCGAAACAACGACATAAATGTCCGGTTTGCATAGACAGTTTCTGATACAATAATATATTGGAGAGTATAGAAAAAATAGGTAAAACAATTTTTGATAATGCGAGGTCATAACCTTTTTAAAAAGTATATTGATAGTAATTCATGTAATTGTAAACTGTAAGAGAAGTAAGTTACACAAAATAAGTCCGTTATTTGTAAGTTTTAAAGAAAACGACTAATATCCCTAGTGTAAACAAATGAGGAATATACACGGAACAAATACACTATATGTACAATGATGGGAAGATTCAAGGATCTGGATTCATCACTTACTACGAGCAGCTTCCGACATTGCCTTGTCCTTATGATCGTTAGACGTCTCGTTATTATAAGCAGATCCTTTTCGTTCAGCAGGAGGTACTGTAAATTCAGAAATTATAACTAACATCAACTAATACGTTTTTTTGAAGAATTAACAAAAGTGCGTGAATATTTTTTACGATTTCAGAAAAAATCTGCATACATAAATATGCAGCAGATACATGTATTGGAATGCGAGTTCTTAATACTGCTATACTGAACCAGTCGCATTATTCGCATTAATACAATCCTCCCGTTAATTTCTGACAAAATAATAATCATTTAAATAAAATATAACATATTATATTGGGGATTTTCTTATAATGAGAGATCATAAAATTTCAAAGAAGTTCAAGGGATATTGGTAATAAAGTTTAAAGGATCTGGATTCAACACTTACCACAATCAGGTTCCGACTCTGCCCCGACCGCAGGAACTTCAGACGTCAACTCACTATAAGCCGATCCTCTTCTTCCATCACTTAGAACAGGAGGTACTGTTAATTCAAAATTATTGCACGTATTTATTATTGCGATTATTAAAAGAATCAACAAAACTGCGTGAAGAACTTTTGTATTTTCAGAAAAATCTGCATACATAAATATAATTCAGATATTAGAATGCGAGTTCTATGATCGCGTTACTAAACAAGCTAAAAAGGAATCTGATGTACAGTAGTTGTCGTCTGTTTATGTAGTTCATACGTGTTTCTCGTTTCTCGTTTTTATATAGATTAGACCGTTGGTTTTCCCGTTTGAATGGTTTTACACTAGTAATTTTTGGGGCCCTTTATAGCTTGCTGTTCGGTGTGAGCCAGTGCTCCGTGTTGAAGGCCGTACCTTGACCTATAATGGTTTACTTTTATAAATTGTTACTTGGATGGAGAGTTGTCTCATTGGCACTCATACCACATCTTCCTATGTCTAATATTCGCATTAATAAAAATCTTGTGTTAATTTCTGAAATAATAATAAACATTTAGATAGAGAATATATAGCATGTGATATTAGGGAAATATTTATAAGAGGAGATTCTAACTTTTCTCATGATTTGGTTTGTGAACTGTTAGAGAAGTGATTTACACAAAATAAGTTTTTTGAACATTTTGAAAAAAAAGCGACTAAGATCATCACTCTTAACAAATAAGAAATATTCATGAAACTACTCCGTAATAGCACGTGATCAACTACACTATATTTACAATGAAGTGAAGTTTAAAGGATCAGGATTCAACACTTACCACAATCAGGTCTCGACAATGCCTCGACCTCAGGATCGTCAGAATTCACCACTCCATATTCTTTAGCAACTAGAATAGGAGATACTGTTAATTTAGATATTGTTGCGTGCATTCATTATTGCGATGTTTTTTTTTAGAATTAAGAATAATGCGAGAAAAAATGTGCGATTTCAGTATATGCAGCAGATATCAGAATGCGAGTTCTTATTTTTGCAATACTAAACCAGTCGCATTATTCGCATTAATAAAAGCCTCGCATTAATTTCTAAATTTACAGTTAAAGGTACTGAATTAGTAAGATTATAATTATGTTTTTCACGTCAGCTTTTTCGTTATTAACCAACTTTTTTTTACATTACCATATGGATAACGCTATACTTATTAACCAAGGCAGTCGAAGAAGTAAAGGTCAAAACTACAAAGAAGACCAAATATAAGATTACAATTGCCACAAGCACAATCCCGTTGTGACATATTCAAGTTTGAACACAACGGTCGCTATATTTGGAGCAGGATTTTTTTTTTGAGAAATTCGTGTTGCTTGGTATTTCAATTTCTATGTAGTGTGTTATAGACCGTTGTTTTTGTTGAGTTTTTGTCATGGTGGTGCCAGTTTTTGTTCAACTGACGGAATGTTACTGTCTTTTTGGTGTAGTCCTCCTTTTAAAATAAATTTGTATTTCAGTAAAGCACAATCTGTCATAAAATACTCGTTTTGCTTCCCAAAATTTAAACATCATTTGAAAGCATCCATTATTGTTATTTTTCAAACATATCAAAAAGTATGCATTTACAAAACAAAACACTTTTGCAATTATACTTCTTATCGTCTTGACAAACTGATATTGTTTGCCAAAACCATTTAAACGCTCAAATTGTGTGGCATAATTACCTCCATGGCTGTAATTTATGTGTTTCCGAAAGTATACCTGTAAAACAACCAATTGTCACTACCACTAGAACTCCAACTATAATACCAGCACTGAAATCAATTAAAATCGTTATACCTTTATATTTGTAAAAATATAATGAATATGTTAATACTTCTTGATACTTTGGCTCTTTGCTACAGGAATAAATATAAAATAAAAAATCACCCTCCCCACCCATCCCCCCCCCCACACTCTCACATTTTCTCCAAAATATTGCATAACAAAGGTCCGTTAATCCATTTTGTTGGTTTTAAAGATAATGATAAATAAGGCAGAGGTCCATCTATATATATATATTTGTTGCAATTGTTTGAGGTCAGGGTCTTACTACGTACAGTTCTCCGTAAAACTGAACATAAAACATGATGCACGAAGTTGTAGGTCAGTTCAGTAGATTTGTTAGTCTAACATGTAAAACCTCATGAAAGATATAAAAAATGAAAACAACACGCTTAATAATTTCATGCGCCCGAAGCGCTGTTCTGGATTTATATTCATCAGGAACGCTCAAAGCCGAAAATTTTAAAGCTGATAATGTATGATAACCGAAGAGTTAAAGAGCCATATAAAGGCAACAGTAGTATATGACATAAACATAGCCAAATCCATCTAAGTAGATACAAGAAAACGTGCTATGAGTGCCAATGAGACAACTCTCTATCCAAGTCACAATCTGTAAAAGTAAACCATAATAGTTCAAAGTACGGCCTTCAACACAGAGCCTTGTATATATCTATTGATTTCCAAAGTAATACCTGCTAGATTTATTTACACTAGATATTTATTGAACAAATAACACAAGTCTTTTAAATTTTGTTTACTGCGAACGATGGCGTATTTTTTTTTTTTTATTTGTTTGTTTGTTTGCTGTTTTATTTTTTATATAAGTGGCAGAACATGCAATTTTGTTTAAGCCTTTACTTTTTAATGCTTTACCTTATTTTATATGATTACACGTACGGATGTTGTGCGTCCGGGACAAAAACACGCTGAGAAAATTATTTTTCAAATGCTATATGATATAACCGTACCTAGGTGTGCCTTGAAGTCGTTAACTAAGAATCTTTATGACAAATGTCACATGCCTAAACTGTAGGCGGTTTGGACATCATTGGACAAAGCATCACACGTTAGTTCCGACCGACGGATATTTAGCAAACTTACAAACCTGCTCGTGCATTTTTCATTGCTATTCAACGCAAAATAATTATCTAAGATACCTGGGACGATCTCATTTCACAAAGGATTTCTATTGTCTACTTATTGTACCTCGAACTTAAATACCCGGTGTAGGTCTTTAAGTTGAGGTTCAATTTACTAAAAGTTAATCGGGCATGACTAATTAGATACGCCCTCTTAAAATCAAGGGGTCCGAAATAGGTTCGGGAAATAACACCCAGCAAAATACCATAATTTACAATTTTAGAAAATTTCTAATTCAAAGTGCATTTGATTGCTTTAATCTGTGACTTTAATATCTCCAGTCAATAATCAATCGGTGGAAATACTAACCTGTCCCGAACCGAGAGATGTTGGCTGCAATAGGAATTTATTTAAATAAAAAAATCCATATCTCATTTACTTATAGTGGACGTTATTGTTTGTAAATTCATGACGTTTTGTTTTTTGGCATTCATCTACCGTGGAGAAAAAAGAGGGAAGGAGGGCTAATTGCTTAGCTTACGACTTTGATCATGATTCAGCTGTATTCTATTACGGCATACGTTTTACTTCTAGCGAACGCTCTGCCTTATTGTAAAAAGTGCCACTTTAAAATTGTAATCATTCGCCTCAGGTTGATCCACTTTGCATCTCGTCGTTAATATGCATGACATATTTGCCACTGGACATAAAAGGTGCAATTAATTAATTAACTTCATTTAGTGACGTATAATCATTTGGTTTCAGTAAATAATCGTCACCAAGGGTGATTAGGGAATAGAAATATGGTCACTTGGTCTTTTTCCGACCGGCAGTAAAACGCTTGCCAAAGTGGAGCGTCCGTTTGGCTGTGCGGGATGTATCAAGTTTGCAGCCATGTCCGGTCAGATTGGGGACGTTAAATCCGATGCCTCGTGTACAGAAAGTGCCACGCACTTTGCACGTAAAGAACCCTTGCAACAACTCTTTGAGGGGTCTATAGGTGGCCTGTTGCAAGGCAAAATTTCTGTCCCTTTCCAATATATCCTCATTGTCCAGTGGCAGTCCACATTTCCCCGACCATCATCCCAGATGGCCTCTATTATTACAAAACCTACCTATTGTATTTGTTGTTAACTTGTTTTTCTTCCTGAACATTCATGAAATATTTGCCACTGGACGTTAAGCAACCAACAATCAATAAATCAATAAATAATCGTCTCAAACAGTTTTCCACTTTTTATATTTCATTTTTATTTAAGTATAAATTTTTAAGAGTAAATCTTTCTTCCATCATTTTTCTCTTTGCATTTAATCGTTTTTTTTTTAAACATTACAAAAACGTTGTCGTGGTACACATCAGGGGTTACATTGTATCCTTTGGCAAAACTAATAGGAGAGGGGATAAGAACAGAAAAACGATCTTCATTGAGTGCCAATAACTCATATATTGAAGCGAACAATGACGGCTGTCCCGTCTACGTGTCAACATTTGCTGTTTCAAGTTTATTTATATCTCAGACTGGTATAATAGTTGCCATAAAAGCAAAAATGGATAAAAAAATGTTGACAACAATTTATTAAAGGATTCAACTTATTTTGGGTGTTTCATTTATTTATGAAAATAGATATTGTTTTGCTAATCGGTTTCGTTATCTTTTTTTTTCATCTACAATTGTCCTAGCAAGAGTCGCAAAAAATGTGTTAAAATCAGCCATGCAACTTAATTGAAAAGATTTAGCTGACCTTTCTTGTTGATTACACATTTCGATCATTCAACTCGTGCATAGATCGTTTTTCCCCCTAATGTTTTTTAACGTATAGATAGCGTGAAATTCTCACTACACCAGGAATCGAATATACATTCCTATTTCGATGGGACAAAACTTCGTATTTATATATCCGATAAGCCAAACGAACGCACCCATTTAGCAAGGGTATATTGTGGGACGGGAGAGGTCTCGAGATGTCAATATTTCTATACCCAAGTGAATTATTTGATTTTGAATAAAAGGTGATAAAGATATTCTGTACATTAATGCAAGAGCAACACAAATACACACACATATCAAAACATTAATAGTCAACTTTCAGTCTTTTTTTTATAGGAAGATCCATATACAGAAAAAAAAATTCAGTGAAAACCGCCTAATGACTTAATAATAGTTATACGGAGTTAACTCAATAATAATTACCGTCAAATATTATATATCCCAAAAGTCACATCTGATTTAATACTATTTACCGTCAAAGATATCCCAACAATCACTAGTCTCTGGTTGAAAAATTTCACTTGCCCTATTTAATTTTGATCGGTGAAAATTTAAGAAGTTGTAATATAAACCAGTAGAACTGAAGAAAAACACTTCACTATATAAAAAAAAACGGTAAAATAAATGATGATAATGGATGACGACCAGCGGCAAATAAAAAGAATATTCAGGACGATAACATGTAAATACAATACGAGTATTAACCCCGCTTTTTACTAGACTGACACGCTGAGTCGGTGTTTTTACACATAAGTTCCCAAGATATTAGTTCGCAGGAAGAAAAGTCACCCGACCCGGACACATTTCCGACCCTGAGCCGACCAGTCTGTGCTCCTAGTCTATGATGTCACGTGTTAAGCGTTGAAATAGCCAATACTAATTTAACGTCTTTGTTTGGCCCGGTCGGGATTCGAACAAATTACCTCCCGCTCTCGACGGGAACACCTTCACATGAGACCAACCAGTAGAGCGGTAGTACATAATATACCAAAACCTCAAGTACAATAAACAATACAGTTTCACAGACGTCTCACAGTTACTAAAGCGAGCTTAAAGTATCTAACCTTAATTAAATGCATGAAATGATATTGTAAACTACACGTAAACATCGATGATCGACTTTAGTGTAGATTTCATGGATCAATACTCTCGGCAAATTAAAAACTCTTGCTCAAATTATTTGAGTGGTCCGAATGTGGCCAGCTGTTGCAAGTCTAAATTTCTGTCCTAATTCAATATACCCTCATTTTCCAGTGGTATTTTAAAGTTTCACGTCCAATCTCACTGTCGACCTCCTATTGCACGACCTACCTATTGAGTATTGTATTTAAAGACTTTATGTGTTATAGTCATGAACATGCATGAACATGCATGAAATATTTGCCACTGGAAGTAAAACTTCATAGATTGTTCCATGTACTTAGCACTCAAGGACAAGATCTTGTAAATTGCTATAATGTACTATTTCCATTTAATTTTTTTTTTTTGTGTTTTTTTTTTTCCTTGAATTTATTACATAACTGACTGCTTATAAAAAAGTTTTTAATATTTTTTTACTATGGTTCTTATCTACTGTTTTAATACGATTTATAATATGATGTTTTGTCAGGCAAGGATAAAACTAAGAAAGGCTTTTCAGGTGTTTTGCGCCAGTTGGACATAAAATGGGAATAACGGACGACTAAAATAAAAGAGGTTTGTTTTCATATAATACATCGAACCTAGGAATATATGTCACCTAAACATGTTTTGATCGGGTCAGTGAAACATAGTTGATGCTATAGATGTCACATTTATGCTTTTTAATACGATTTTATTTTATTTAAAAAAAAACAAAGCAAGATCTATTAATTAATTGGACTAAACAGACAACACTAATTATTTTGCATTCGCATGTAACGTAGTGTAGGAAAATTACAGAATAATAAAGGAATGAACATTTACCGGATGAATATTGTGAAGGACCTTATGCATCTAGGTCTGTTCGATTAAAAGTTCTGAAACAAGCTGTTTAAAAAGCTAATTGATGGAAGAATTAACTTACTGTTTTCTTAGGTCTGGTCTGTTTCATGATTACTGACAGATTAAAAACATCAAATATATAGATATAATAAGAAGTTGTTGTGCAGAATATTCATTGGTCAGTTATAAATGAGGTATGTATAGGGTTTTGAATGCCTCATTTATTAAATAAGAAATCGTTATTTTGAAAAGTTGGATTCAAAAATATAAATGTACCCCCTAATTTTGTAAAACTATCATTTGGTGTTATTTTAATGCTAAACAAAATATAATAAATGAATAATTGAATGATGTACTGCCATTTAATCGGTTCGTTTCCGTTGCAATTTGGTAACTGTTAATTGTATATATCAGTCTGAGTACTATTTAACTATTATTTAAGGTGAAAATATTTAGACTCGTCCAATTCAGGGGAATTTGGTTTCTGCGAGTGCTTTTTGTGTACTTTTCTTATGTTTTTGACGGTTTGTAAGTCAGTAAAAGTTCAATGATTAAGTTAATATTGACCTTAAAAGACCTCCGAACCAAAAGGGATGTTCATATCCCCTCGCCCTTCGGGCTCGGGGATCTGAACATCCCTTTTTGTTCGGAGTTGTTTTAATATCAATATTAACTTATCATTGATCTTGTACTATTACTTACTAATTCAAATCCATCCAAATCTTTGTTTTTGGAGGAAATAAATATAACATTAAGAAACAAAACTATGATATGCATAACACGAATAACAATTTCTTACTTACATTTCACCTTCGGAAAATCTACTTGCAAAACCTGTATCTGAAATTACAATTAATTAGAATGTGATTAATACTAACAAAAATTTAAATCGACAAAAAAATCCTTGTATGGGATTCTCCATTGTTAATATGTTACGTTAATTTACACAAGACAATTCAATGTCTTCTACGAGTTAAGGTATAATAATTCATAACTCAAGATAATTTGCTTCTATATTTTCAACAAACAGGCTTTCGTGAGCAAGTTCAATTTGACATTTAACCTAGAGAATGGACAAGTAAACTACAACATGACCAAAAACCAAGATGGTCAAATAAAGGCAACAGTAGTATACCGCTATTCATAATTCATAAATCGATTGAGAAAAAAACAAATCCGGGTTACAAACTAAAACTGAGGGAAACACATCAAATATAAGAGGAGAACAACGACACAACAGAAACACAACACTAAAATGCAACACACACAAAAACGAACTAAACTATAACAATGGCCATTTTCCTGACTTGTAACAGGACATTTTAAGAAAAATGGTGGGTTGAACCTGGTTTTGTGGCTAGCCAAACCTCCCGCTTTTATGGCAATGTTAAATATAACATTAAAATGACAATATTACATGACAGGACTACAATACAAATAAATGGGAGAACATACAGGACAGAGACACACACAACTTATAGCTATCAAAAGGTACCAGGCTTATCATTTAATACGCCAGACGCGCGTTTCGTCTACATAAGACCCATCAGTGACGCTCAGATAAAAAAAGTTCGAAAGCCAAAACAAGTACAAAGTTGAAGAGCATTGAGGACCAAAAGTTCCCAAAAGTTGTGCCAAATACGGCTAAGGTTGTATGCCTGGGATAAGAATATCCTTAGTATTTAGAATAATTCATACTTTTGCAAGCAGTAAATTTATAAAAATGACTATATAATAGATATACATGTTAACATCGAAGTGGTGACTAACTACAGAATAAAAACGAATACGTAAAACTTCCTTAATCAGCACACAAAAAACGCACAGCCGAACAACGTATTATATGTTAGCCGAAGAGATCGACGCACAATGTGACATCACATATAAATTTCTATATATTTCCAAAAAATAGGATAGAGTTCAAGATTAGGTTTGTAATACTGGTATAACATGTATTAATAACAATGAACATTGCAATACTTATTAATATACAATTGTGGTAGTAATTAGATAATTAATTATATTATCAAGCTATGTCGGTATTTCTTCTAAATCAAACTGTAAACCAAATACATTGTATAAATTTAGTTGACCCAAACTAAAATCTTATAAATGAACTGGGTGATTAATTATCTTTACCGTAACACACGAATAGAACAGAAAAAAATAAGATTTAAAACTACAAACGATAAGACATTTGACAAAATCAGATGAGAATAACAAATATAACATCAAAACTAAATACATGGATTTTGGATAGAGAAATACCGTGACACGTCTTATAGCAATGCGAATTCACACTCAGCAAAACAGTAACAATTGGGAATAAGTCACGTTCGGTATTTAAAAGATCAGACGACGTAATGGCAAATCACAAACTAATACGTGGTAAAATTGTCCATTGTTAGTTTGGACAAAGACACATCGTATGAATCAACCAATTCGTGATGGTGTCCATAAAATTTACAGAGTGTCATTTTTAATCTGTCCTCCTCATAACTTTGTTGGAGCAGTTTTTACGTTTCAAAACTTTAAATGGGATTCAATAGAATAAAACTAAGCTACTTATACTATTATTGTCATGCTGAATTATATAAAATCACCAATATGAAGTTGATGTGTTTTCTTCGGTTTTGGCTATGAACCAGATGTGTTTTTGCTTAATAGATAAACGACTGTTAAATAGTGGTATACTACTGTTGCCTTTATTTACAAGTATGTTAGAATATTCTTATGTTATGGAAAATTTGAATACAAAGTTTGATTATTTATTTTCTGATAAAAAAATGGTTAGTCATCTGTAAACCTGGTGGGTCTGTATAAAAAGATTGGAGAAGTGGCCACTGGCGCCTCAAAACCAGATTGCCTCGGACAAATGATGTTTGTTAACCTTTGAGGGTAGCCAATCTAGAAGGAAAATTCTGACTCAAACCTGAACTGCCTTGCGGCCACACCCTTATTCATGTTATACAAGTGAAGTTTTTAGTAGACAATCTCGATGATAATCGAGAACCATGAATCTTTAACTTCCTTCATGTACCTTCCTTGTATTCAGAATGTTGTTAGTTTTAGGGTCTTATGAGAAAAGTCACGCCACTTTTTTTTTTTGCGACATTACGGAATGATACAGTTTACCAAATAGGTACTTTAGATAAGCAATACAAATGCGACATATGTGGATCATCATTTGTTGCCCCTTCTGGAGCACCTGAAATCAACCCCGACTTTTAAATGGGTTCGTGTTGCTCAATGTTAGTTTTCTTTGTTATTGTCTCGTTTTGTTCTAAGCATATGCATGTATTTGAAACAAAATTCAACAAAAACAAAATATAGTATTGGTCAGCATAATGCCGTCTCAATAAAAAATATTTCCACTTTTGTTTCTCATCATATACTTAAAGATAATTTTCCTAATCATACATATTTAGTAAATAAACTTACATGTGAAAACATCTTCTTCTAGTAGAAATTTTCTGTCACCTAACGTTACGCCATACAAACATGAATATGAAACATTAAGATCATCTTTAGTTAGGTTTTGTATAATTAATGTATATCCATTCTTGAAAATCCGTCCATCATACTTTTTGTTAGGTCTTCCTGTCTTTACATCTATAAACAGTGTGCGTTGTTCTGGAGTCCACCTATCCCATCCTGAATCTTCTGGACAGCAGTTTGGAACATGGCAAAATAATGTCACATTTTGTCCATAGTCTGTAACCTTTCCAACAACTGTCCATTTCAAAACACCTATAACTGTTAAGTAAGGGTTTCACTTTACATTACGCATTATGCATACAAATAAAAAAAAAAAACGTATTAAACTTAAGGATGTTTGCTACTCTGTTTCAAAATAACACGCTTTTTAAAAGATCATTACAGATTGAAAGTTTATAGATAACGGAACAAAAAAAGCAGAACAAAATTCAGGGTCCGTGTGCTTGCTTTCGAGATATTAGCTATTAAAAATTTTACGTGAATATTCTCTCTAGATTTTTCATAAACTGACATTGGTACCTTTGTTCTTTCAAAAATTATGAAAAAATAACAAGGATTTTATAAGATTTTCAAATATGATTGTTTAAACAATATGTAATGATGAAAAGAAAAGTAGGACTTGGTGGACAACATGTTTATTGGCACCACATGGATAAAACCAGAGGATTCTGAATATCTGACAAAAATTCAAAAACAAGAGGAGCGAACATCCTTAATGCTATTTGGGAGAATGTCATACATACCTTATTGGTATCTACATATCCACAATGTTGAGAACTGTACTGTTACTTTGGATTTAAATTTAAAATAGTAATACATAAAATTGAGAATGGAAATGGGGAATGTGTCAAAGAGACAACAACACGACCATAGAGCAGACAACAGCCGAAGGCCACCAATGGGTCTTCAATGCAGCGAGAAACTCCCGCACCCGGAGGCGTCCTTCAGCTGGCCCCTGAACAAATATGTATACTAGTTCAGTGATAATGGACGTCATACTAAACTCCAAATTATACACAAGAAACTAAATTTAAAATGAGACAAGACTAAGAAAGGCCAGAGGCTCCTGACTTGGGACAGGCGCAAAAATGCGGCGGGGTTAAACATGTTTTTTGAGATCTCAACCCTCCCCCTATACCTCTAGCCAATGTAGAAAAAAACAAACGTACAACAGTACGCACAGTAAAACTCAATTTAAGAGAAGTCCGAGTCCGATGTCAGAATAGGAAACAAAAGAAAATAAACAAAATGACAATAATACATAAATAACAACAGACTACTAGCAGTTACTGACATGCCAGCTCCAGACCTCAATTAAACTGATTGAAAGATTATGTCTTCATCATATGAATATCAGGCACAATCCCTCCTGTTAGGGGGTTTAGTATTATACCGTCATAAAATATATGAGAAGAACATAACCCGTGTCATGCCAACAACTGGTTTTAGAATAAATATGTTTAATTCCGATGCAAAGACCCTATAAGTGAATCAATATTAAAGCCAAAATATGCAATCTTTAATGACCTAGTATCGTAACTATATCCCTTCTTAATAAGTCTGTTTAAAGGTTTTGTTAGCTTTTGAGGTGAATACTGACATATTTGTGCTTTGTAAAGAATATTACCATAAAAAATTGGATGTGAAATACCCGAACGTATAAGATGTCTGCATGTTGAGTTATATTTACGAATGATGTCCTTATACCGATGATAAAATTTAGTAAATGTTTTGATTAGTTTATGATATCGAAAACCCTGGTGTAATAATTTTTCAGTAATATATAAATTGCTCTCGCTAAAATCTAATACGTTGTTACATACACGAGCGAATCGTACAAGTTGTGATATATAAACACCATAAGATGGTGACAAGGGAACGTCACCATCTAAAAATGGATAATTAACGATAGGAAATGAAAAATCATCTCTTTTATCATAAATTTTTGTATTAAGCTTCCCGTTAATGATATAGATATCAAGATCGAGGAAAGGACAGTGGTCATTGTTAGTATTAGCTTTATTTAAAGTAAGTTCAACAGGATAAATTTCTTTAGGCATTGTTCCTTTACCTCATGTTTGTATTTTGATACATTACCTGATACTTCATATTGCTTCTTTTCATTATTGTTTAATCTCATTCGGGAACTTGAATGTGAAAATCACTAATGTATTTTAATGTATACTAATATACTGTGGTTTGATTATGGGTAGAAATCCTAGTTAACAGAAAAGAGAAATGCAACACCATTCTATCATGCACATATGATATGACTATTTACAACTTTCATACAAGTTGGAGGTTTAGTCAGCTATATATAAATCAAAGATTAACTCACCATTTTCTTCGAAAAATGTCTGTGCCAAGTCAGGAATAGGACAGTAGTTTTCCTGTCGTTCTACTGCCTCTTATTATTGAGGGTTTGGTTTTGTCATCTTCCATTGAATTCCCCTTTTTGAATTTACCTTTGAGTTCGTTTTGTTTTATTACTACATGTATTTCAACCACTGTTGTGTCTCAAGATCTATCCAGAAATAATTAAAAACCACTGTTTTCATGCTTTTGTACAACACATTGTACAATTTCCTTAACAGATAAGTTCATTTATAATTTTGTATTGTATTTTTACCTGATTTCTTTTCATCTTAATTTGACCTTTTTATATGAAAACAAATGCATGTCAAAATATCAACACGAAGAATGAGTATAGCAGATATAATGCGACAATATTGATAAGTTGTTATTGTTTTGTCTCGGCTTTGGTTAATCAACATTTGATCATCAACCGTTTCTATGTTGAGTAGATTCTGATTAATAATAATCATCATAACAACACACAGATAAGAAAACAAAATGTACTATGAGATAGCAAAGGAAACACATGCTTTAATTATATTTAGTTTACATGAAGTTTATCACTGAAGGCTGTGACAATACATTATACTGCTCCTTGATTTCATTGTATTTGTTTGTGTCCAAAGTCAAGATTTGACAATTCAATGTTACAATATTTCTCACCATCAATTGATTTTGTTCTCAAGCTTGCTTTAATCGGATTTGACTTGATAATATATTCATTATAATGTAGTCTTTGATTATTTACCTTGTATCATATGACAGTAAAATAGAATCAGCAATTGTAGGATATTTGTCATATCTACAAGGTGCCTGCAAAATAGAATGACATATTAACATAGAATAAACAACTTAGTATTGTGTATGGACCGAAGTCATAATTATCAAATACAAACAAAGCTATCGATATTGTTCATTAGCTGTTGAAAAAAAAAATAGTTAAATTTTTACCAATATGTCATGTATATTTATAAAGTATTTTCGTTTATCCAGAAGGCGTCATCCCCTGTTATCAACTTCATTTAAGGTTCCAGTAATAGTGCCTTCTTTTTGACACAGGTATGAATAAGACATTTACACATTTTTGGCATAGAAGTGGTCCATAATATATAATTCCTGGTCTCAACAGCTTTTAGGAAACCCAGATGCTGTCTTATTTACTGATACGGAATGTTCTAGTGCATCATATATGTGTCTTTAGTCTAATCTTATATTATATCAACCACGCTTGTATCATATATTAAATAATCATAAGTTTTTATCCAGATTTACCGTATTTCTTAAGAAATCAAAAACAAATTCTTGTACTCGCAAATCATTGATGTTTTAATGTTTATGCCTTCTAGTTCCTTAAATTGGAAGATGAATTATTCTTTTGTATTCTAGTCTAGTATGTTCTAGTCTATTCTATATTAGAGCAGTCTAGATACACGGATTGTAGGCGCGCGATTCGTCTACAAAAGACTCACCAGTGACGCTCCAATGAAAAAAAGATTAAAAAGGCAAAATAAAGTACGAAGTTGAAGAACATGGAGGACTAAAAATTCATAAAAGTTATGTTAAATACAGCTTAGGTAATCTATTCCTAATCCAGTCTTATCCAGTAAATGCTTATCTAACATATTCAAGAGAAGTCTATCTTTTTCTAGTATATTCTAGTCTAGTATATTCTACTACATTATATCGAAGTCGAGTCTCGATTTTTAACAACAAAAATGTAATTCCTTATTTTTCAAATTTCCTGTTACAATAATACTTCACTGTCCAAGCTCCTGTGAGTAAATCCTGTAAAATTATTTCTAAACGGCCATAAACTATGACAATATAAAATATAATATTCTATTGAACTAATTTCTTGATATGTATGAAAACATTTGTCTTTTATTCATAAACCTGCGTAATTCCTTTATAAACAATAACCTTCGAATTACTATAATGCTCTGCATCATAGTATGACTTGTGAATGTTAAATCTGAAAACTGTCAACAAAATTGTTTAAACCATAATATCCCTGACCTTATATTTTGTATTCAAATATGAAATATTTGCCACTGGACGTTAAGCAACTAATCAATCAATGTATTCAAATACTATATGTTGTACTGACATCTTGTTTTTATGTTGAATTTTGTAAGAAGATGTTCCACATTTACCAAATAATCTTTTAAAAAATGATTATGGAATAAAAAGATGTAAATAATAGTCCTCATATGTTTTACATTTATTTACTTAAATAAAAATCAATTTAAATATCCATTGCTTCGTAGCAAAAATATTATGTAGCAGTTTCCATCTAAACATTTTCATCTTGTTCTCTCTTAAGAAATACGAACGAAATATGTTGTCTGTATTCAAACTTTAAATATCTTGCATGTCTTGACCAAATATTTATACCAATTTGCTGCGTATATTTTGATATATTAAACTATTATATGTTTTTTTATTCCTAGGCAAAAAAAAAGAAACGTAACAAAAGTTTTTAATTAGAAAAATAACACAAATAATACTTTTAAATTTTTACGGTTAAAACTAATGACCTGAATGATTTTTCTATCGAATTAACTAATTTGTAAAACATTTGGAGATGAAATTGATTTCGAACAAATAAGCATTTTGTTCAGAAATTTATCTGTATTATTGATGGAATCGATTTGTCCTTTTTTCCATGTGTCAAACACTTTTGTTAGTTAAAGGTCACAGTAATTGAAAAAGTTACACGTTAGTCAATGCCCAGTTTACGCCAAAACGAGAGAGAACAAAATATTGGGATGTGGGCAGCAGGAATGAATCAAATGCATGTTGCAAATTATTTCAATATCTCTAGAATGACTATTGCAAGGCTTCAAACTCGTCTATGAGATACTGGTACGACAAATGACCGTCCCCGAGGTGGCAGGCAACGTCAAACTACGTTATGTCAAGACTGGCACATCCGCATTTTTCATTTTCCGAAAATAGCACGACAAACCTTAGGAAGAAATAACAACAAATTATCTGCTCAAACAGCTCGTAACCGGTAGAATCTAGGGTTGTCACACAGTACATGATATATAAGGCATACGGATGAAATTGATTGCAGATTAGATAAATTTCTGCCGGAAAGGATGGTAAGATGCAATCACAGAAAGTTATACGTCTAAACAAGTGATAACTCTACAACAGATCCATTCATTGGATTAACAGTCACTAGTAGCACGATTTCAGTCTGAAACGGTCATTTTGGTCTGATCATATCTTAATCGACTGGATTTACCGCTAGAGAAAAATGTCAAGACTTTTAAGAACTTTTCAGACGCCGTTCCGATCGATTGTCGCATCAGGTAAATCAGTCCGTTAAGGCATGTCAAGATAAACAAGACTGAATCTTCTAGCGAGCTGTTAAGATCCGTTACGGATGATTCAGTCGAAATCAGACCAAATCTCAAAATTAACGTTCAAAATTGTCAGACCATGTTAAGATCGTTCAGTATGTTGGTATGATACTACGAGTTACGCTCCTTCTGCTTGATAATGCATTTTAGATTAATATATATATGTATTAGAATTTAAAATGTATCTCTCGAATAAATAAAAAAAAATAATTAAAGATTAAATATTCTGTTGATTCTTTATTTCTGTTGTTGTTTTGTTGAGGAACTAAAGTGATAAATTATTCGTCTATATATGTTGCTTATTTTTTTAACAAATGTTAGTTTAGTTTATTTATTTATATACTTATTAACTGCAAGGACGTATGTTATTTGTATACTCACATAAATGTTTGCTATACATTTAACCTTAAAATGTTGTGAACCCGGTGTGAAAATGTTTTTCGTATTTGAAAATCAGTTACGGCAAATCTTAAACGTAACCTAAAAAAACAAAGGAGATGTGGTATAATTGCCAATGAGACAATCCACTGAAATGAAGCGGAGGCAAATTAACACTTGCGTATTATTTTCATGTCAGATGCTTTAATTCGTTTTCTGTTGATATGTGCTAGTTTACTATTACCGTTGTTGCTGTTTTTTTTTTTTTTTATTTCCGTACGAGTTACTCTATTAAACTTTGAAAAGCTTCTATTACCATATCTTTGTAGTACAATATATTATCAAGGAATTGTACATTTAAATATACAATTCCTTGATATTATTAAACAATGATTTACTTTACACAGTGATGCGTCTAAACGCCTAACCACCAAGGTCGCCATAGTACATGAAGCTCCTGATACTGCATTCAGTCTGTGTCGAAACAGTGTTAAAACTATATATAAATTACCACCGTATAAAGTTTTTGATTAAAAAATGTATCCTAATAATTATTTTCCTACATATGTATATATAGTAGTTATGGCATACATTTGAAATTTTCCGTTTTAGTTATAATGATTGAGTTCAATGGCACGTGCTAGTAATCAACCGGGTCAACAGGTAACAAATTCAATGATCCAAAACGTATCAAAGTACATGACTATTTTACATTAAACCATTGTGGTGACGTCAGCCTATTCATTTACCGTGGATTCTTTTTCTAGAATCAACGCTTCCTAAATCTGCAACTGAAATGGACTGACCAAATTATATTCAATTGTTTCCTTTGTGTACCTAATTTCATTAAGTTTGAATTGGCTAATTTACTGATTTCTGTTCACTAATGGAATTAATTTAAAAACTTACCTTTAATTTTTTTAATTTTTATATGCCTTCACTGGGAATCGAACCCTTCCTTGAAATCTGTTATGTGTGACTGACATCAACACATCGACGAAACCTCTCGGCTACCAATGGGTTACACTATAGATGTCTATTTTATATATTTAAATGAACATCTGATATACATCGGTTCATCGGACACACAGGGCTTGTACCTTTATATAGACACAATAGGCAGTCGTATAGTATGAGTTGGTAGCCGCGAGGTTAGCATGGTTAAAATCAATGAGTTAAAGATAGGGATTTGTCGGTTTAGGTTCGAATCCCTGTATTCTCTCTGTTGTTCCAATTCTTAAGTTATCCTGTTTTTTTTCTAATTTTGCATGTTATAGTGGATATTTTTGTAATAATAGCGAGTTTTACCGTTTTTTTGTAATTATTATTGGCTATTTCACATGTTTGAAACAAAAATGATTACATTCTATTTGTCAATTTTTGTTTTATAAATATAGTATGATTTCATCTGTTTTACTACATAATTTTACAAAGGTTTGTTCGCAAATTCCTATGCGAGAAAATCGTGATGTGCCTAGAGTGCTAGAAAAATTTCGATAACATACTTATTATATATACTTTATATATGCTTTTTGGTCGGGTTGTTGTCTCTTTCATACGTTCCCCATTTCCATTTTCAGTTTTATTAGAAATAATTTCGAATATTTTGTATAAACAGATAATATTCACATGCCTGGTAATTTAAAGATCTTTAAAGGTAGAAGTGTTATATTTGTATTTTGTTAACCAATTAATTGTGATCTGAGATTTATCCATGCATCGTATGACACGATAACATGGTTATTTAAACTCACTTACAATACCTTCTAATTAAGAAAAGGCTTTAACTTTGAAAAGAAATTAACACAATAGTTTAAGTTATAGATACAATGGATAAGCGTAGATTCATGAAAAACAAACCAGTCGCCCTCCGGGCTCATGGTTTCTTTTTCAAGAATCCACGCTTATCCATTATATCTATATAACATATTACACTCAAAGGTGCCGTAAGGCTAAAGGTTAATAAAGAATTAATGAATTTATGTATACGTATTAGTATTTAAGCTGTTGATGTTTGACCGTCATTTTTAATATATGCTATATTGTATATTCAATAAAATAATGAATCTGAATCTATTATAGCTTAGTATGTGTAGTTTAAGATTCTTACAATATTATATATAGTGGCTTCTTTCTAAACATTATACCAAAAGATAATAAAAAATATTTGAGCCCTGCATCGAAAACCATTTAAAAAAAAACATGTACAGTTCGGAAGTTTGTTTTAAATTAGTAGTCAACAGAAACTTTTCACTTATTTACTTATAGAGTTTTGAGAGTATTCCTTTAGATTGTGTCAGTTATGTAAAGTGGTGTGTATTTGTATTCTATTTTCTTAGCAAAATTGTATCACTATATATACATTTTGTATTTCATAATTATTTATATATATACTATAAGTTGTGTATTGTGGGTTTGCGGGATGATTTCGTTTTTTTTTAATGAAAGTAAGGTATTGTCATTATACTATGACATGGAACCCACCAGTGTAGTTTTCATGTAGTATAATATTTATAAGTAACTTAAATGTAATTAATATGAATTTTGAATACTAGTAAATCGAAACATAACGGGAGCTAGACGCATGGATCCCCCGGACCTATCAGTTCTTTTCTCTGTTTTGTTTTTAAATTTTTTTAATGTTTATTTTTTTTTATATTTCGATTTATTTTTTACTTTTATATAATTTACGGTAACTGTAGTGTATACGTTCTGCCAGACGAAAGATCTATATGTGTCCTCTAGATGTTTTTTTTGTGGATTGGTTGCTTTGTCATTGACGTTTAACACACAACTTTTATTTAATGTGATCTATGTAGAAATTCAAACGTACTTAAGAATGAAGGACGCAAATCCAGGCTTTATATAAAGATGGTCATTTAAGAGCGACACAATTAAAAGAATACGAAAAATATAAGTGTTGGAATAACATAAATATACACTATATGTACATTTTCGGAAAATGTAATTTTTATTTAACGAACTTCGGTAACTGGACAAAAAGAGAGGCGCACCAATCTTTTCTCCTTTTGTGTAGCGAGTACAAAATGAACTGATCTGAGTTATTTCGTATTGCGTTTCTTTTAAATAATAAAATAGCACGTGCTCTATCTTAAAAAAATGCTCACAGTGCAGTGTTCTACTTTTCAGACAAATTATATCAAATTATAGAGCAGTATATAACAGCTCGAACTCAAAATGTGAACCATTCTATGTTGCGGGTTGGGGTCTACAGTTTAGTTTGAAAGCTTCAGTCATACAAGTGTTTTACCCTTTTTATTTGGACTAAATCACTACTTTACCTTAAAATTCATCATCTAAATGTTCAAACATGTACTACTTTTTATTTGATGCATAAAATATAAAGAAGAAATTTGGAAGATTATAACCAGCATTATACACTAACAACTACCAAAGGCTGATAAGTATGCCATCGAATAAAAAAAAAATACATTAAGAATAAAGTACTGAAACTAATCTTATATTGTATATATTTACTTGTATTTATCTAGAAGAAAAACCGGCGAGTCTAATTTGCTTGATAACAAAGTTCTATGACTAATACAACTGTATTCATGACTTATACAATTGAACTTATATATAAGTCTCATATAACAAGAAGAATAAAATCTTTCTTTGGGGTTCTATTTTTAAAAAGATATTGTCTCTCTTTCTACATTAATGTTTTCTTATGTGTGTACTTCATTGAAGGGTTACTGTCTAATTGAGGCTAGCACTTTACATTTGTTTTGATCAATTCTTTAAAGTCTGACATAGTTATTTCTCTCTAAAACACAACAGCTGATATTTCTTTTGATCATTTTATAAAATTACTACAAAGATAAGTTTAAAGAATGAATAATTAATACAGAAATAAATGCGTTTATATCTAAAAATTTCTTTATTTTAGAAAGAAGGTATATTCTGGATGATATATTAGCACAAACTTGGTCAATTTGATTTCTCCAGTTAAGTGTGCTGTCAATTTTAACACCTAATAATTTTTCACATGAAGAATTTTGTAATACTTTTGAATTTATTATCAAGTTTGGTTGATAAGTCTGAATTGATAGTTTCTGCTTTGTTCCAGTTACCAAACATTTTGTTTTATTTGCATTAATGAACATGTTATTCCTTTTGCACCACTCTTCAACCCTGTATTAATCTTCTTGAACATCATCATGTATATTTTATATGTTTTTCATGTGGACGACCATTCATGCCAATTCCAAAACACGATTAAAAGGAGATGTTGGGTATATTCCAAAGAGACAGCTGTCCCAAAACCAAGATAAGTAAAAAGGCATCAATGAATTTCGACTAACCATGCTAACAGGGCAAAATTTATGTAATAACTGACAAAGTTCACATGAAAATATATAGTTTAGGCCACACTAATTTGATTCATAGTTCTTTGGATTGAATGATAATATAAGACAAATCTGTGTGCCGTGTGCAGAGCGTCATCCCTCCACTATAACATGATAAAATATTTACAGATATTTTATTCATCGTGTTCATTGTAATTATTCATTTTGAGAAAAGATGAAACCTCCACAACACTTGTTCAACAAGAATCCTTATAGGTACACGCCCGGGGGTACTGTACATCATGTACATGATGAAACAATTAACTCATTTTGTTTAATCAACTGTTTTTAAAAGGCAACTGTTATGACTCTGTGCATTGTTTCAGGAATATTAATTTAATAACATTGTTTTATTTTGATGATTAATTTTATTTTGAAACATCTAATAGATATTCACTTTCAATGCTTTATTATATTATAAAATCTATTCATGTATGTTGTCCATGACTCAGGAATTATTTGAAAAATATACTGAACATGCATTTTTGCTAAATAAGTCAATAAAATTAATAAGTTTCACAACATTTTATATATAAATATTTGATTTGTAGTAAAATTCAACTTGAATTATCTCAAATTCTATGAAATAATTTTATAATTGTAATTATTGTACATCGGCATCGCCCACAACGGGCACAAGGGAATTAAGTAAAATAAGGGACATACTTATAAACCAGCGTTAGCAAAGTTATTATATGAATATGGACATGTAAAGGTTGGTTGGTTGTTGTTAATAAAAAATCCAGTGACAAATTATTCATGCAAATTTAGGACGAGACAGTTAACAATACATTAACATTATCATACAATATGTATAGGTCCTGTAATAGGCCATCCTGCACAACCAAACCAATGCACCACATGTTAGGGTTTAACAGTAAGACCATGAACAGGGGTGGATCCAGCCATTTTTAAAAGGGGGAGGGTCCCGACCCAGGATAAAGGGGGTTCAAACTATATGTCCCCTTTCAAATGCATTGCTCCTCCAAAAAAGGGGGGTCCAATCCCAGGAACCCCTGGCCCCGCCGCTGGATGAAGACCAAGAGTAACCTTTTTTCTTTTCCTTTCAATTGGTCACCCTTTGGATGTATTTGAAGTACATAAGTCGTAAGGGTTTAAATGACATAATTTCATAAACATGATAAAGGGGAGGGGAATGGTGTCATACATGAATTTCAACGATGCATAAACTTTTTGCAATCCTACATCCTAACGTTGCATTGGAACATGCCACTATGCACAAGTGCGATGATATAGAACGTTGATTCATACCTTCAAAATCTTGGATCCATGATTATTCTTAAATTCTGATGGACATGCTTTAAAATATTGTTCATTTCTACTCACCGATTGCAATATTCAGAGCAGCTTATATTGTACTGTAAGTTTCCCTTTTTTTGCGTAAACTATAGTTTGCCGACCTGCTTTCCGCCGACAGAATGCAACAAATAAGGGTACAGTAACGTTAAATCGTTTACGGGTGAAGACTTATTTTCCGTTTTTAATAAAACTTGACAGATTTGATTAATTATTATCGGAAAATGTCCCTAATGGATAGTAATTCAAATTAAACCAGTTTTATTATGCTGTATTATATATATGTAACTTAGTCATATTCTTTAAATTTACTTCACATACACCGATGGAACATTTTCACTTCCGCATAATCATCATGATAATTTATCAAATATATTTCAAATAAATATGAATTTATGAATTCATAAACCATCATCTCCAATAATATATAAACTCTATGTTTAAACGAAGGCTTCTGGTATGTAAAACAAGTTATAAAATACTTTAAATAGACAGAATAAAAAAACAAAAGATACCTTTAGGAAAGTCGAATGCACAAGTCAAACACGATCGCAAAATAATAAGATAAACAACAACAACAATATATATTTTTTTTAATATAAAACATGTTTAATACTTACATAGGAAAAAGTAAGAATTGAAATTGTTTTATATTTTTAATAAAGTAGACATGGTAAACTATCAAAGTAACATAAACCGTCTTCTTTCTAATTTGTATTTTACTCTTGAAGGGGAGCAACCCCTGATACACACTGGGAAAGTTTCAATCGTTTTGTGTCCAAATTATTAAAATCTGAACACGACTGAACACGGTCTGACAACATCTTGACGTAATTTTGTATCCATGGTCTGATTTCGACTGAATCAGTCGTAACGGATCTTAACAGCTCGCTAGAAGATTCAGTCTTGTTTATCTTGACACGCCTTAACGGACTGATTTACCTGATGCGACTATCGATCGGAACGGCGTCTGAAAAGTTCTTAAAAGTCTTGACGTTTTTCTCTAGCGGTAAATCCAGTCGATTAAGATATGATCAGACCAAAATGACCGTTTCAGACTGAAATCGTGCTACTAGTGAGTAAAGGTGATACATGGCTGAAAACACATATTGTATTCATAACTACACAAAATATCAACACAACAATTAAAATCTGAAAATTTTCGGAACCAAATTTTGTTCTTCCCTAATCGGGATTCGAACTCATTCTATTGGGATATTGAGACAATGCGCATGCAATGTGTCCAGCGCTATAGACCACTCGGCCATCTAGATTTAACTTAAGATTCAGCTTTATATGGCTTAGTTTTACATTTTCTCGTTGGTAGAATCTACAGTTGTAACACATTACATGATAAATTAGACAGAAAGATGAAATTGATTGCAGATTAGATAAATTTCTATCGTAAAGGATCGTTTCTACTCTAAATATCAGCAACATTAATATTAAATATACTGAGGTTGTGAGTTCATGCTGATGTGTTTGACTTTATCCTAATTTACTAGGGTTGTCAGTATTACTGCAGAAGATCAGTGGTTCTATCACTATAACACTCATGTTGAAATCAGACAAAAAGCTTAATCATCTGTAAAAAACGTAAAACGAACCAAAAGCAACGAATAAAAACTAAAAGTATCGGAAAAAAAAGGTAAACTTTTGGACAAAAAGGACCACTAGTCAAAAGGCAAATGTCTTACAAAAAAATATCGTATCAATCCTTATCTAATATGTAGAGATAAAATAAAAGACCATCCATCATGTCCATAGTTTAATTAAGAAGCGGCGATTTGTGAATGAATGAGTTGTAGAGTCAAAGTTAAAAATATAGATTTGAAGGTTTAGCTTCGAATCATTTTTTTTCCCTTTGTGGTCCATTTTCATTATTTGTACTTTTTTGTAATTTTGGTGATAACTTTTAAATGAACAAATTCTCCCGTTCATTTAAAGTATTGGCTATATCACTTTAAAAAATGATAACACTCAATTTGTTAATTTCTTTATATAAGAATAGTTTAATTCCATCTATATTAATACACATTTTCTTATCTCAAATTGGCAAATTACGTCGAAAGTTAATCGGGATGTGCCTAAAATAAGGGTTCTTTAAAACAAAATGTATTAACATACGTTGAATTATATATACTAAACAATTAGTTCGAATATGCCGTATTTTGTAAATTACAGATACTTTTTAGATTGATAATATTTTAATTTTACAATATATTGAATACATAATTTGTTTTTAAATATTTGTTTATGATTTAATCCACTACCTGTATACATCATAATTGGGATTATCTTTTTTTGAATCATTCATGATCATTAGAAGCATGTATTACTTCAGTGATAATTCGACCTAAATAACAAACAAACTGTAATGTTGAAAAATAACTTGTCAAAAAGCCTTTAAATAATAGACACAATGGTTAAGTATTGGCTCGTTAAAACACTTCGGGTTCATGGTAATGTTTCAAAGTCACAAAGCTTAAACATCGTATCTACATTATGTATCTATATACAGGGTCGTTCAGGAGTAAACGTGTTCCATACAGACATTAACTATCTTTATTTAATCCGGTTACAAAAAGTCTTCTTTATCTTGTGAAAATATTTAAGGAATGAAAACAATGCATCAAGTCAAGAGTGTGAAAGGACTACTATATAACAAGACTTTTAAATTGTTAAAGATCATCTATTGAATAAAGAATACTAAGGAAAAATGTTGGCTCATCAATATGTCAGTGTGGTTTGAACGTGTAAGTTTTAATGTGTCAGCAGGAAGACTTAATGCAGATAGAGGAAGAATTAGAATGTAAAAATATTATTTTAAAAGTTCGTTACTTTACACTGAAACAATATGATAAAAAAAGAAATATGTTATTAAGGTTAAAAAAATTGATTTCTATTCTATTTGGAAATAGACGCTATATCACCAACCTTAAACATAGATTTCAGTGATAATAATGTATTGATTAAAAAAGGAAAACACTGAACAATTCTGACGAAAAATCATTCATGTCAGTCCTGCAATATAGTAGAAGTGTTCTAAGTGTTGAAGTTGAAATAATTACCTCGAAAATCGTACGTACGTCATCACGAATTGGTTGACAGTTATGGAAAATCTGTTTTATAGATGACGACGGATATTTTTCCGTCTTCATAACAACAATCCCCCCCCCCCATTATCTCGAAAAAAAGTAAAATCACGAAAATACCGAACTCTGAGGATAATTCAAAAAGGCAAAATCAAAAGTTAAAACACATCAAACGAATGGATAACAACTGTCATATTCCTGACTTGGTACAGGCATTTTCTCATGTAAACAATGCAATGGTGGATTTATCTTTTTTATAGCTTGCTAAACATTTCACTTGTATGACAGTTGCATAAAGTAGAGATGTAAACTACCGAATTAGACTTATCAAAAGGTTTGTACTTAAATGAGCAAGACGACAGGTGCAATATGTGGAGTAGGATCTGCCTATACCCCGAAGCTCCTGTGATCGCCGGATTTTGCGGTTTTCTTGTAGTTTAGTTTTCAGTTTCATTTTGTGTTATGTATTCTTTTTTTTTTTGTCTTTAAGTCTTTTCCATATTTTATCATTTTTTGTCTATTATGTTTGCTTGTTTCTTTGGTTTACTTTTGAAAGAAAGTAAACATATCCGTTTGTACAGCAGGGATACAATCGGTAAACCCACTTTTATTTTAAACGCAATCAAGATAAAATAATGATATAAATGATAATAAAAGCATTTAATAATGTAAAAAAGTAGAAACAAAATTAATGTTCCTTTTCAAAATATTTGTTAGTACAAAGGGTAGGGGACTAAAACGAAATTAATTAGAAACTATATTATTATATTCTATGATTTTTTCCTGTCATTTAAAATAACTTGTTATACTGTGTTTTTTTCTTTCTCATATCAGTTTATTCATGTATCAATAACGTTTTATTACAGTACTGAAATACTACTTTAATTTGGTGCTTCGATATATTGAAAAAACTTTTACAAATGCAGAATCTGCACAGATATATTAGAGAACATCACAGATGAACATACAAAAGTTTGTTCAACCATTATTTTTTATATTTGTTAAATGGTATATTTAGCATGTTTAGACAAAGAGTCAACAGTATTCAGCAATGTTCAATTCTAATGAATACAGTAAGAAAATACAAATAAAGAAAATAAAATGGTGGAAACGTATACACTTTAAAAGGAACGAGACTTGTTTTGATTTGGTTGATTCAAGAGCGTGTAAGTATGTTGTTACATTTTTGGTCCAATCATTTACTGTAAACCAACTTATTTTCGCGGATACTTTAATTCGCGTTTAGCTCTTTCTTGCCGAATTCGCGGCAATTTAATATAGCGATTTTCAAATTCACCTGAAGCAATAAGACAAGGAATGATCCAAGTTTTAAAAATTTGCAACGATTTATATTCGCGTTATTTTTTCTCTCGCGAAAGACGCGAAAATAAATCGCTCGAGAAAATTAGTTGGTTTACAGTAAATGTATCGTACATTTACATTTCTATCACATGATATAATTTCTTTGTGAATCATATAGTTTTAAACGTATTGTATTCATAATTGCTAACGGTCTTGGTTTTTATGATTGTTCTTTTATTCAATTTGCAAAACCTAAAGTAAACACATGTACTTACCGGATTTGAGTGACTTGCAAATTGTTCTAAATTTACTATACACACAAAATGTTTTCTTGATCATGAATGTTCACTCAACAGGTGGCAGTAAAATAGCTCGTATGCAGTACTTAGTAATCATGAAATACACTTATTCTGTTAATTTACTGAGACATAAAGAGACACATCGATGAGATAAAGTACTATTACACCACATTGATCTGTATCTTAGCATAAATCACGTAGTTTTAAATGAATTCTTAGTAATACAGGTTGGTTTTAAATCTAGATTAAGGTTATTCTACATTTAAATAACATAAGAACTGGTTTGTTTAACAGAATTGCCAATTTTATATGCATCATTACTGAAAGTGTGTTTTTATAATTGATATAAGTTTTCTTCAAAAGAATTGATTGATAAATGATTAAGAAGTAATATAATAGTATATTCAATATGATTGTTAACCTGCTGCATTTAAG